ATATATTAAATGCACATTAGTAAAACTATACTTAGGTACACATGTGAGAAAGGTATGGCTTCCCGAATAAATGATGGATGGAAATTGGATGTCAGACAGTTCTCCCCTTTTTGTTAGATATTATGTATTTTTGTTCACTATGTCCTAAACCAATAACATTTTTTGTGTATTAATATTAGCTAAATATGAATCAGAGTGTAGTACAGGGCTTCCAAAAGACATAGTGATGTAAAATCACCAGGAAAAAATTTGGACACCTTATTGAAAAGTGGTACTACATACCTCCAAAATGGGGTCTTGTTCCCATACCTTTCTAACCTCTGGCCTAACAAAATGCTTTTTACTTGATATAAAATTAATAAAAAGTTTTTGTTTCACACAGTGTGGTCAGCCTGTTTTGAAACACTAATACACCTATGGCACGATATAGTTTGCATTGATTTGTATTGTTAGCCATACATGGTCCTACAAAAAGTATGTGTCGAATACCAAATTTGCATGTGTTACAATGTTAGGAATTGATACAAATTTTCAACTGTTGGAACTTTGGGTTAGGCATAACATCCTTTAATGAAATTCAAGCTCCCCTGTGCAAGAAATCATAAATAATTCTGTTCCCTTAAAGAACATACCCCATTATAAGTTAAGAAAGCATGCTGAACACAAAAGTTATAGATTAACTTTCATTACATATAATGTAATCATCCTCTGTCAACCGGAGAAAGAATATTTCTATACATTGGCCTTAAAAAATTACTCAAATATTTTGCTCAGACCTTCAATATCACCTTTATTCTTTATATTTTATTTAAATGCCGAAGAACAATGCACAATCACACGCTTATGAAATGAAAACATTTGCTGGAAAAAGCGGGAAATTTTCAAAGTCCTCTACTTCCGGGCATCTAGTGTCACAAACAAATATTCAACGGCGATACCAGTAAAGCGCATACTTCATATTCAAAGTTACTTTTTGATCCCATATTCGTGGCTACTGCTTAATAAGATATCATTCCTATACGATATTAAGCTCGCTTGAGTAAAAAGTTCACAATAGCAACAAAATTAAGCAGCGTTTTGCATAGTCTTGAAATATTCGCACTGCCGGGGCATCTAGTATTCCAGTCCTAGAGTTTTGAGAATGTTTTATTTTGATTTTTAATTCGTAAATAGTGATGTCGGAACGACAACTACGAAAGCAAAAGATGCCATGTCGCGAATCGCCAGCCATGACGTTTATTGTATTTGTATCATAAGGTATGGAACGTACATCTAGAACTTTGACTGCAGGGTATCGAAGGTAGCGTATATTTCCTATATTCCCGGCTGCCGGGCGTTTAGTATTTTTATAATCCTTCCCGGCTGCCGGGTATCTAGACACGTCGTAATCTTAAACATTTCAAGCTTTTACATTCACAGCCAGCGACAGAAGAAGCCTGACTTTCAACGTGTCACAACTAATAAAGTTTAACATAAGTTCCAATTTCCGTTGTTCCATAAGTTCTTAGTATCAAATAACAATTATCTATTACTTATATACATAAGTTCCGACACATATAACTTAAAATGCCGGTGATTAAAAAATAAGATTTTCATTCGCAATCAGAGGAATAGAAAGTTGATCAAACAGGAAATTGAAGTTACTTAAAGTACAAAAAAAGTTAAGTAGAAATAACAACCGTACATATTACTTGAATGAAACTTGTAAGTCAAGAAGAAATAATAACAGTGTGACAAATTTTCCATACTTCACATTCTATGATAATTATTACTTTGTAACTATATATATATATAAATATTAACGTGTATATAACAATGTGCCCTCCCGGCTATCACCTGCTCTTGGGGACACAGGATTTACGGTTACACATTATTTGTATTGAACGGTGAATGTTGAGGATCATTGCTTCTGCAGTTTCTTACTTAACCGTCGTTTACGAAAGCAAAGGACGATCAAACATAAAACCAAAAATCCAATAAAAATTCCCACTATCCACGCTGCTACAGTCGAATACCAATACAATATACATTTGATTCCTTTTAAAGTTGAGTTGCCGAAACTGGAAGCACAAGAGCATAGTGACCAGAATAAGAGATAATGCGACATGAACGGGTTAATAAAGTACGGCTATGACGGGAAACTCTTGGATTGCAACTAATTACGAGGGAATTATCAAACAATGTGGTTCCTCCACGACGACTGGTGCCCACCACAGCATTGATAAAGCTTCTTTTATATTTGACGTAACATGCACACCCATAGGGGAAAAGAATGGGATTGGAAGAAAACAGGGGAACAACCGGTTACGGCAGGGGACTCCCCGGTTCAAAAGCTCGCGGTATCTGTAAATAGTTGACTAATCCATGCATAATTATTGCAGCTGGATTATGAGTATTGATATTTTTAATAGCCATGTCTATTCTCTTGTATATATTCCTGTCATTCCCCCCCGTCTATTCCCCGATCATTCTTATTCCTCATTTCCTTTCCCTTTTTCCCGAACCATGTTTTAAATAGCCAGTGCGCACTGCGCCAAAGGACGCACAATTTGTGTTCATCGAAAACTATACTGTTTATGCTAGATGTTGTCAAGCAGAGAGATCGATCTGCTCAGGGGTCTGATCATTGAGTTCTATAAGACCTGGAGGGGAAACGTCAACCAAATTACTACAAATTATCAGCGCGCGGCTGCGTGGTCAAAAACATGGCGGATTTTGGTGGTCAAAGTCAGCGGAGAGACGCGGGCTCGTGAAATAAAATTTTTGTCGCCCACCCTGATTTGACCACCACGATTGCGAGTATAGAAAATATCAAAACTATTTATTTTCCTAACATAAACACTTTTTTAAAACTTTATTTATTAAACTGCCAACTTTTGTGGTTTGCGGATGCTGAAATAGCGACAGAAAAGGGAACATTTTTTGACTCCAGTAAGTAGCACAGTATTAGTTTTACTATTTTGTTTTTAACACGATACTTGAAGAGTGTTTCTACTACTAAGTTTTAATTTAAAGTTATTTTGGTCCAGTCTTGTTTGTTCTTCACTTAATCGCTCGCCAGACGTGGCGAAGCTGTCAATTTTTATCAAGTTTTGCATCCATCTTGTATCATGATCAAGGCATCAAGCTTAACTCTCCTGATTTGAATTGAGTTTACCTCCCAAAAATGGGGCATAATTTGTTCATGTTTTTTTTTTAAAAGATGAAGGGAAAGTTTACAACAGAATTGTTTTGAAATTGGATGCAGTGCCATTCAAAATTAATGAGAACTATGGTATATGTTGTATATTAAAAATAACTAAACTGTTTGCCTGCTCAATTTGACTGACTGTATTGTGTAGACAATTATAATGGGATTGGAAAGTTGGATTTATGCAAACAGTTTTAAAGTACTACTTAGCGTTTCTGTAAATGAAGTATTGTTATAGTGAACAGGTTACTACTTCAAAACCAAGATGAAAGTAGTGTGTTGAACAATGTGCTAAGATTTGTTTCTACCTTGAAATTTTTGTTCAACAGTAGCTTATGATTATATCATTAATATGCATGAAAAATTAAACATATTATTGTCTCATCTCATTAAATCCATACTTGGTATGATTCCAGGTGATCCACAAATTCACATCGGATGCATTGGTTACAATGAAGTTGAATGTAGAAGAAGCAAAAATAGATGGCAAAGAAATTCTTTGTGTCTTATGAAGAATTAGTAGAAATCAATAAAAAGAATTCTTTGAACAAATTGTAAACAAATTTAAATTTGCTCATGGTCAAGCAACCTAGTCAAAGAAGCAAAGTCTGTCTTCAACATGTGACCTTTCCAATTATTTAGTTTCTTTGTACAAAATACTATTTTTGAGAAACTTGATTTGTAAGTCTTTCATTAATATTTTTTTACCAAGAGATAAAAGGAACTAATTCAAAGGCTTGATGTAAAATACAAAGATTTAACAAGTTGTTTATCATTTAATTCCCAAATGTTAGTTTGTACATATAAATAATTAGTATTGGTAGCTGTAAGTTGTTTAAGCAAAACAGAATAGTAGTGCTCAAGGGGGTTAGCATTTTTGAAAAATTATATCTTGTTCATGACATATATTACACAATTCAAAAAACTGTAAGTAATGCACAATAATATCTATAGAACTTGATAAATTTCTTCAGCTACACTGTCAAATAACTATTTTGCCTTCATGCAGCAATAGACAGTGTTTTTGTCAGAGAAACCAATGCACTTTAGTTTCCAAGTTTGTAATTTCAATGGAAAATTAATGTAGTTCTGTTCAGTAATAGATCCAAGATTCTGCCAAACTGTTTACAAAATACAAATTATCAAGCAACAGTGTCATGGTGTTTTGAATTTTTTTCTTTTTTGTAGCTCTTCTAGTTCAACATACTTTCTTTATGCGTTTTCAGTAGATTTATCAGGTAATGACAATACACTTATACTTATCCATGGTAAATTTTCAGTTGACTTATGTCGTAGGACTGAAGCAAACATTTTCTCGCTTCCTTAGGAGCATTTTTACACAGATTTATCCATTTGAAGCAAGAAAAATAGGTGCACCAAACTGTTTACAAACAGTCAAACACACAAAAGCATGAAATAATGTATAAGTTTGACGAGATTGACAGGTCTAGTAAAGAATGCCGTTTGATTTTCACTTTTAAAAGGCTAAAATATCATAAAATAACTTAAATGTTACATCCAAAATATGCGCTTCTCTACCGTCGATTTTCTTTATTTTGATGTGTGTCTGTACTGTGTTTTTCACGCAATGCTAAAGCATTATTTTCACATGATATGCTGTCGGTATCGTAATTGTTTTTTTTTCTCACTTGTTTTCGTTCATACAAACAGTATCAGAAATCAGGAGGGAGTGAATATTGAAAAAAATTTTTAAAGTGGAAGTTTTGACCACCAAAATCCGCCATTACCGCCAAGGTTTTTGACCACGAGGCCCAGGCCCCTTTGCCCCTCCAGGTCTTATAGAGCTCAATGGGTCTGATCGAATGGAACGAAGGAAGAAATTTCCTGCGAACAGGTCCTTTTAAACTCTTCATTTCATGGGAGTCAACATTTAAAAAGTCGACATTTCGTAGGACTCGTTATTTTAAAAAGTAGTCATTTCAAAGAGTCATCAATTCAATGGAGTCGGCTTTTAAAGAAGTCTTCATCCATGAGGTGTACGCATTTCAAAATTTGAAATAAAAACTCTTGTTGCGAGTTGGAGGAATAACACTGGGAAAGTGAGTTTGATTTATTACGTGTATCACGCGTTTAATCAAATTCTCGCTATTTATACACACTGAAATTTCCTATTAAAACCTCGCGTACGGTTAATATAAGAGCGACATAATCTTGGTACTATTGCGTCAACTTATATCATACATTAAAATAAAACTACGTCATATCAACAAGGATGTGGAAGGGGCGTTATGGTTTCCCCTTTATATGATTGAAGTACATCTAGTGTAATAAACAACTCTCAATGGACTCAATAAACTGCTCTAGGTGATCGCTTACATTAAACGATTCGAAGAATCATTTGGTTGCAATTCTTTGTCAAGGGTAGGTGCCAGAACATCTGAATTTACAAGAATTTCTTCAAAATATACGAAATCTGTAGAATAATGTTAATGAAGCTATATTGTGTTATATGATATTATGCCGTTTGTAGACAGTTATGTAATTTCATTAGCAACTCGTTAAAATTTGTGATTTGTCAATCTTTTAAAGTTGCTTTGATTTGTTATTTAATAAGATTGTTTGAAAGGTGATCAGAGAGGAAATCTTTCGTCATTATTTTTAACTTTATTACGTCGTTTAAAATGAACGACAAGTCACTCTTGAATGATCGCGTGGCACGTGGTATGTATCTCTCAGCCTTAGTGCCCACGCAGTATTCACGTGCTATGTATCGCTCAGCCTCAGTGCCCACTAATGAAATAAATCACTTGGCATTATTGCATGAAAATGACATTGTGTGATAATGCTGAATATAAGGCTTCCTTCTTTAGAAAATAAACGTACAGCACTTGCATGTTATCATGGACATGCTTGAAATTTTTTTTTCTGCAACAGACGCAATTAAGATATAAAAATAAAACAAATACAAAGTCATAGTATTCTTAGTAAACTTTTGTACGTTGTTACAATTAAGTATAATTAAGTTAGTGTCTTCAATTGATCGCGTGCTACGAAGCAGGGACGCAGCATGACATTGACGGAGGAGCAGCGAAGTAGTTGAGTATATAATGAACGTTTATTGTTGACAAAATTTTTGGAATGCTAATATTAGTTTATGACACAGTGTCTATCACTTGTTATAAGCAAATATTAGCATCTATTTGACAGGCACATTAAAAATAGGGTCACACCCACAACACAACCTCCATTCGTAGTTAATGAACTCTAATACAACAGGAAGGCTAAATTTATATGAACATGCCTAGACTTGCTTAATGCTAACGTGAAAAATATTTTATTTTTTTCAAAACCGTTTGCAATGTGTGGAAGTGATGATTTCAAATTTGAGTTTTGGACATACGTGGTTTCTGTCAATGAATTCTCCCTTTCCTGAAAAACGTCAGGGACATTTCACATGCATGCAAATTTGAGCATTGAGTTGCATTTTATCAACAAGTTCATGCTTATAAATAAATAGCCAGGGGGTACAACATGACAAATAATCCTATTATGACCTGCTGTACATAAAGTCAAAAAAGTAGCACTCATCCTCAGTGGTATGAACCAGGGTTTGAAAATGATTATAGAACGAGCAATGTTAGATCATTTATCCAAAGTTTATCCGTAAAGTGTATCATATATTAATTGTAAAATTAGTTTTTCCCGTTTATTATTCGATTCGCAAATTCTCTTTGACTGATTGATTGATTGTTTTGGTTGATTTGATTGGTTGCGCTCAGATCTGTTTTCACGATCACCGCACGCGTTTTATTGTTTTTATTTTATAAATAATTAGTATTTCTTGATATTTATTTGTGATAATGTGATGATTTTATAACATACGACAAAAATAATATTTTATGTACTGGTATTACTTTATAATTCTTACTTAAGTATTTCAAAATCCATGACTGTGTAGTGTCATTTGCGTTTTTGTCTTCATTTTTAAGTGAGTATTGACCCTTTTTTTTTAAATTGTCTCTTTTATGTTGCAGCTAATGATCACACCATAATTTGGCGTAACGGTTTTTCAAAAACAAACGGTTTTTTTTACGTCATGTCCTTTAAAAAAGGACTGGAGAGAGCTAATTTTGCTTGCTGAAACAAAAAATTACCGAAAAACGGTGTTTTTCGTCCTGACAGCTTCACTTTTAAAGATTCAAACAATATTATATGGGTAGACCCATGTATTTTACATCCTTTGAATTAAAAAAAAACGAGAGGTGTTAGTTTAGTATTCAAGTTATAACGCATATTATAACGTGCCAAAGCAATGTTAGCTTTCATCTTTCAAAAAACCGGCTTTAACATCTACAAATGTCTTTCAAACTCTATTTCTTATTAAATCCAAAAATGGTTAAAGGTTTTTAGCCATTATACTGGTTCCAAGAGAGACCTGTTTTGTGAAAAAAACCCGGCAATTTTGAAGTGATGTATTTCGCTTCCATAACTTTAACGGCGGCGATCATGTTGGCTTCAAAGATGGCAGCTTAGTTAGCCTTCCAGTTGTTATAGAGTTCGCTGCTCGTAGGACAAACTTCCACTACATAGTACAAAATTCCTTGTTGGTAGCATTTGCTCAAAGAATCCAAAATGACCAAAATAAGAAATCCACATTTTCACTTCTTTTCTTCCATTGCCTTCAAAAGATAATATCAAGTAAATAACGGTAGTAGCGTCGTCAGCCCAACTTTCCACTTCCGCTGCGCAAATATTTTTGTGTTCTGTGACTGTGAGAACAATAGGTTTCCAAACAAATGAAGAATGTTAATTTTTGAGAATTTACACAGCAGAAGTAAATCTGGAGGCTGGCTACCCTGCTGATAACGACGTCTTGAAAAATAGGTGCCTATACAAGCCCTAAAGAGCTACCGCGTTTTCAAATATATATAATTAAATGAATAGGTATATAAATAAATAATCAAATTACTATAAAATGAAAATTTCACAATTATGCTTGAATGCTCGAAAAACTTGAGTTTCCATAACTCTATAGGAATACGAGAATTTTCCTCTCATAATTCTCGAAGGGAGCGTAATTTTCGCGGGGAAATTTAAACGGCAAAAACAGAACACAAACATGCCATTAAAACCAATAAATTTATCTTTTTAAATTGTTTTTAAAAGGCTGTTTTATAAAAGAAAAATATTTAGTTGTTTCTATTGAGTTGTAGAAACACTTGTGAAAGTTTGGAAAGAACTCGAAATTGCTTAGAAACACTCGCCATTCGTGTGTGCTTGCCACGCAATTTCTCCTTTTTCTCAAGCTCTCTGGAAAACACTTAAATTTTTTCTATTGCTTAAACAATCATTAGAAATACAGTAATAGTATTATCAAGTTTCTCATAAAAGTCAATAATGAAAATTCATGTTTGATCGTTCCTTTAACATTAATTTTTCTAATCTAATTTTAAGTAATGTATGTGTGTTTTGTAATAGGAAGAAATTAAAAGACATGCAAAAGTCTTCTGAAAGAACAGCTGTGATTTTACGTTGCAATTTTTCGAAGATTAACAAGCACATCGTCGTATCAAATGTCTCTGCTTTGCTAAACAGTGATGGCGGCCAGTTTGTGATACAATGTGATGATAAAGCTGCAAGTGATAAAGAAATAGACAAAAAGATGAGAACGATTGAGCAATGGATTGAAGTACTTCTTGGTAAAATGTTTATGTTCGTCAAAATCAAATTTAATGTTACTCTTCAAGAAATATGCATCTATGTCGAAAAGTTCCATGATTTAGTGACGGTAGATTATAAGATGTTTCTTCCTTCACCTACGCAAATCTGCAAAATATCAGGTCAATCGTTGGTACTTGCTCGAGAAGCTGTATTTGCGAAAAATTCCAGTACAACAACAAGATACGATTTGCCAAGTGTGCAGGAATCATTTATATACGGATCTAAAATCCCCATGCTTGAATCATATGAAGTTCAGTTCAAGCAATTGAAGTCGGAATCAACCAAGAGCACCAGCTTGGCAGATAGACTTGTTGGTAACAAACTTCTGGAAACTATTTCAGCGTTTGCTAACTATGGCGGTGGAGCAATTTATGTAGGGGTTGATGACGATTCACGGGAAATTCATGGAGAACGAGTGACAACAAAGGAAAAGGAGAAGATTGTCGAAAAAGTTACAGAAAAAATCAACAAAATGGTTTGGTTTTCTCTTCAAACGAAGCCTTCCTATGGCGTCCATTGGGACATATATTTTCGTGCCGTTGTTGACGAACGTGGAAAATTGATGGAGTCGACGTATGTTATTGTTATTGTTGTTGCTCGTTGTACTGGTGGGGTCTCTGTTGGGGAACCAGAAAGCTACCACATTGTCAATGATGTTGTAACAAGAATGGATTTGAAAACATGGAGAGAAAGATTTTTTCAAAAAGAATCATTGGTCATGGATCATGGCATTGATCGACCAAATTGGAGCTCTGAACGGAACCGTAATTTATTTCATTGCATGAATGGAAGGTTGATACGATCAATTAATGCAGGTTCGTGGGATGCGTTTGGGGGAGGAAAGAAAAAGCTAGAATTAGAAAATTCTAACTGCAACATGACCAAATTTGTCGTTATTTCGAATGAAATAACTGCTCATTACAAACTTGGGCGCTTTGACCTTGTAGAAAATGGGATTAAAGACTATGAATCACTGTTGAGTAAATCTACAGTTGATGCAAACATTCACGAAGCTCGTTTGTATCTTTTAAAGTCTTGTATTCAACGATGCCGTGGTAACATTAAAAAGAGTTACGAAGAAGCTGACAAAGGTTTGACAATTGTTGATCAACTACCACCTGGTATTGTAGTTGGTGAATATTATTGCAATCTTGTTTCCGTAATCACCATTCTTCTACAGTACGAAACTGAGCCAAGGCAGCGACATAATTTAACTGAAAAGTCAACTACATTTTCTAGAATAGCAATCAAGAATCTTGACGATGCAGAATATTGCAATTTATCGAAATTTGATCAGAAACAGAAGGCGCACATTAATCTTGCTTTTTTGCTTCTGCAATCTTCTTTTATGGTTTGCACTAAACCAGAAATTCATGTAAGCAGCCAGGATTTGGAACAGGCTAACGAAAGTTTAAATACTGTAAACAAATTGATAAACGAAGGTTATCCCCTGACAGATTATCGTGAATGTCAGTATCATCTTGCGCGATCGATGCTCTTCTACCGACGCTCACAAAACGCTGATTCTCAAGAAATGGAGAGATTACGCAATGAAGCCGTACGTTTTGCAAAGAAAGCTGAAGGCTTAGCCACCAACTGTAAATTTAAAAGCTTGATGGAATGCTCTCGTCAGCATTTAAACATGTTTCACCTATATCCTGTACGTTAATGGTTCAGTCATCACTATACGCATTATAACCAAACGTTAAGATTTCTAAAAGGTGTACGGTAGATATTTCTATAGGTATAGAGCAAGCAAGTGAGGTTAATGAGTCATGGCATGAGACATTATTAGTTGAAAAAAACAGTACATATAGTTATTGAACCATCAGGAATGTTCTGCTTTGATATGTCAACTTCATTTGATGATGTAAAAAACAACGCAGAAATAGTTTGTGAAAAGGAATCAATTCCCATGAAACCCATGTAATATAGCTAGATGGTGAAAGAACATTAATTTTATGTCATGTACTTTTTATACACCTTTTGTGGTCTCTTTGTTATTATTTTTTCTATTGATGATTTACAATAAATTTGTGATTATTATGTGAGCTCTTACGTTTTTTTTTAATATGCTTGCATATTAGAAGTGTGGCGCTGCAAGTTATACATTATAAACTCACTTCATACTTAATTCAAATTTTTTAAAGTGCCAATGTCAGGATGAGGGAAATGACTTCCTCAGATAGTTAAATCAATCTTAAGAACATTTGAAACATATTTCAAAGGACCCAGATGTATCTTTGTGGACTTTTTGGGCTAGAAGTAGATGACTAAGCGCCGGAAGTGACGTACATTGAAGAACATATGCATTGATGATATAGCTTTAACAAGACATGTTTAAAGTAAACAATGAGCGTTTAGAAAATGGAACTGTTCGGATGCTATTCTCCACTAAAATTTTATAGTAGTACGGAGTTTATAGTTTACGAAGCGAGCGTGTTCTCCTATAGACGTCACTTCCAGCCCTGAGTCACCTATTTTCCCATTGAGATAAAATTTCGAAGTGGACTAACTTATACCCAACATTGAAACCACTTCAGCTGCTTTAAAACCAAAGTTGTTGAAGTATTCTTACAGCTTTTGTGTTGTGGAGAAACGAGGCGGTACTTTATTTCCAGAGTGAGTTCTTGCAATGTGAAAGCACATTTGATCATATCAAGGTGCTGATTATGGCAAGCATCAGCAATTAGTGACTTCATCTTAGAAAAACAATAACGGGAGTATCCGTTCTTAGATGAAAATGACTTCATTAGCCCACGACTTGTTCAGCTCGTTTAAGAGAAAAGCAAATATGGTCGAGAAAATTTTCTTAGAAGCTTCTGATGCGTTTTTTTTATTTTCAGTTTGCACTAATGTCTCAAAGAAGGTCACATACACAACATCTGATTACTAATTTCCGCCATACTGTGTGCATTTGGAGCCTGCCAGTGTACGGAGCAGCGTCAACATTATCATCATTAGACATGCAGCAGTGAATGTTAACGTGTTATACTTATGCGTGCAAGATTTCATATATAGGTTTAGGCTTTAAGAGTGAAAAATGCACTCCATTAAAATGAAATAATATAATGTTGACACATTATTATATTATAGTAGCGAGAGACTTGCCGAGCGGAAATCGGATTCGTGTAATAAAAATTAATGCCCAACATAAAGTTCTGATTAGAGCCATAGAAATAGACCAAAAAACAAATTGTAAAATTAAATTTATTGTAACGTTTCGTCTTTACTCAAGACATCTTCAGACAAATAATAAATAGGATGTTAAGACAAGATATTATATTTACAAAAAGGTGTTAAATTACTACTAAAGGAGGCGGTGTCAAATGGATATATGATAAGGAAGTTAGGAAGTAAAATAAATGGAAATTAAAAGAGGTTAAGTGGAATGGAGTTTCCTTGCACATTAAGTGAAGGCTTGTATTTATTGATTAGAAGGCTTTCATGAATGGAAAGTTCATAAGAATCGTTAGAAGAGGATATTATTTTAAAGTCGTCTAAGTTGGGGGTGTGTCCAGTTGCGTTAATGTGAGCAAAAATGCTCGATAATGCAGGGTGGGAAACTTGGTTGCCTGTAAGGGGGGATATTCCCAAGTGCTCTGAAAATCTGGTGTGTAGATGACGTGTGGTTTAACCCACATACGAAGCGTTGCAGCTTCGACACTTGAATAAATAGACTACACCAGATTTCAAAGGTTTGGGAATTTTGTCCTTAAAGGGGAAGTAAGAAGAGATACGTTGGGAAGGGCGGAAAATAAATTTAATAGATATATGTGGGAAGGCTGCAGCACATAGGCCATTGATTTGTGTGCAAATTTGAAGGGAGTGTATGCCGGTGAAAGGAAGACAAAAATAGATAGGCATTTTGTGAGCAGTCAAGACAGGTGTTTTGGGGGCAAAGGCGTTGTTAAGGAAGCGACGTGTAATTTGGTCAATTATACGGGAAGGAAAACCGTTTTGGGTGAGTGACTTTCTGGTAAATTATAGTTGTGTATGAAAATTTTCGTAAGTAGAACAAAGGTTGAAGATGCGGTGAAGTAAGCAGGAAACTAGTGAAAGTTTGTAAGTAAGTGGGATGAAGCTGTGGAAGTTAGTGAAGAGGCCAGTGAAAGTAGGTTTGCTGTAGACGGAAGTGGTGAAGTTTCCATTAATGCGAGAGATATTAATGTCAAGAAATGAGAGCTTTCTGTTTTGTTCGACTTCAGCTGTGAAAGTGATGTTATGGTGTTGTCGGTTCAGATAGTCAAGAAAGAGAGGGACGTGATCGGAGGAATGAAAAAGTTAAAAACAGTCGTCAACGTAGCGTCGGTAAAGTAGTAGTTTGAATGAAGAAGGACATTTATTAAGCCAGGAATGTTCGTGAAAGGACAATATATCAGCAAAGAGAAGGCCCAATGGACTGCCCATAGCCACACCAACAATTTTCTGGTACATTTTACCGTTAAAGATAAAGTGACAGTTCTTAACAGCTAGAGAGAGTAGTTTTTCAAATTCTGTTGCAGTGAGTCCGTTGAAGTACTGGTGGTTGTTAAAAATGCTTTTGGATATTATGTGGATGGTTTCGTCGACAGGTATGTTAGTAAATGGGGATACGACATCAAAACTAGCAAGAACAACATTACTGGACGATCGACATTTACAAACATGTAAGGATACTCCCGGGTTCAAACCATTTACTTTATTACGATCATTTGGACGACAGAGCGAACAACTTGCTAACGACTACATACGTTTTGCAAGCAACGTCAGACGCATGCGCTAACAACTCTGGTTCAACCACCGCTGCAAGGATTTTGGTCTCGTTCCGGCAGGACTTAGAGTTAAGTCCCCGATGAACACACAAGAGGCTATTCAGATTGTCAAATCTACCAGCAGACGACTGATATGAGCACGGATTAACGACTGTCACGGACGAATCAACTATTACATCAAACAACAAGAACAAAGACTGAATAAACTGAAGGAACTCATACCAACGACAGTAAGTGATACTTTACTTTCTACGATACAAACTATTGCAGAGAAATGAGCAAACAAGACAGACACACAACACCAAATAAAACAACAACAAAACTTGAACGTTTAAAACAAACTAAAACACGTACAAGACATAAACATGACGATAACTGGTGAGGACTATTTCTCCCGCTCATTAGACGAAACTGAAACGCGACTACTATCTTACGAACTAAAAATCCATAACACATAGACGAATCCCGACTGAGACGATAGTATCAATTGTCGAGGTTGTCCAAGCGTATCAAGGAGACTTGTCAGAGACAACCAAAGACGAGATCAGAAGCAGGATAGCCTCCACTTTACAATCGTCCTTTATACGTGACAACAACTTGACAAAGAACGAACAACAAGCACTCAAACGACTAAAACACGACAACAACATCGTCATTTTACCAGTAGACAAGTGACGCGTGACTGTGGTCATGGACAGGAATGATTACTTCAACAAAATGGACACCCTTGTTAACGACAGACAAACGTGCGAATAACTCAAACGAGACCCAACACCATCACTAGTACGCAAATTTAACAGCAAGATCTTCTCTATGAGAAAATCTAACATTATATCTGAACGTATTTACTATCGACTCAGATGTTCAGTACCACGACCACCCAGACTATACGGACTACCAAAACTTCACAAACCACAAATACCCATGCGACCAATTGTATCATTCTGTGGTTCGCCTACTTACGAACTCTCAATGTACTTGACTGACATACTGCAACCACTTGCGAACAAATCAAAACACAAGCTACAATCCACTGAAACTTTCATTAAAAAAACTGAGCACTATACAAATACCGGACAACTATATACTAGTGTCTTTTGATATGAAATCACTGTTCACCAGTATTCCTCTTAATCTGGCACTTACTTGTGCAAAAAACCCTCATTACAGACACCACGGACGTACTGCCATTACCGACAGAAGACATTATGGAGCTACTGGAGCTCTGTCTCACCTCGACTTACTTCCAGATCAAAGGTAAACACTACAAACAATTACATGGGACAGCAATGGGCTCACCTGTTTCTGTTGTAGTTGCTGAAATTGTAATGCAATCTATATAGAGGAACGAGCGCTTACAACTTACAAACATGCACTACCTTTTTGGTTTCGCTGCGTAGATGACACAATCGCAGCACTACATGCAGACGAGATTGACGACTTTCACACTCACATCAACAAACAAAACAGCCACATACAATTTACCAAAGATGTCAAAGAAAACGGAACTCTTCCTTTTCGCGACTGTTTGGTAAAACATGACAATCAAAAACTACGAACAACAGTTTATCGCAAGCCAACACATACTGACCGACTACTAGACCAATCATCTTACAACCCTACATCACACAAAGCCACCACAATCAGAACATTAACAAGACGTGCACAAATCATATGTGATTCACCGGACGCTCTACACAACGAAAACAACTATCTCAAACGTGTTTTTGAAAAAAACAACTATAACTCTGACTTTATCAAACGCAACACTTACAAACCCAACGAGCCCAACAAAACGAACAACACAGTGTCAACAGCAACGATACCTTACATCAAAGGTACGTCTGAGACTATCTTGCGTATCTTACGACCATACAACATACGTGTCGCACATAAACCAATCACAACGTTACGACAAATACTAACGAACATAAAGGACAAAGAACAACACAACGAACGACAAGGTGCAGTTTACAAAATAAACTGCTCCGACTGCCACGCCTCCTATATCGGGGAAACTGGCAGGAACTTAAAAATAAGACTTACTGAACACAAACGAGCTACTAAGAAACAAGACAAAACTAATCACATTGCCGAACATCACCGAATCACAAAGTACAACATTGACTGGGACTCGGCAAAATGCATTACCTACAGTACTGACTATAGACAACGGCTTACATTAGAAAGTTGGTATACCAACTTGGAACAAACCCCCCTGAACAGATCACAGCAATTACCGGCGCCTTACAATCGACTTATTCGCAATACAAACAAACGATCAACAAAAAACATTAGACTTCACACTAACTCACAATGACAATACACAATTGACACCCACACATTACAACTAAAACATCACATCTAAATCACACATCACAACTAAAAATAGAATTATTTAACTTCACACTAATTCACAATGACAATACATATTTACTGTACACACAATACAATGACGTAAGAACCAGATAACAAATACGGCTAACCGGACGCTTACTCCACATTTGACTCTGAAGATGACTACCACTAAGGTTGTCGAAACGTCAGTCAACAACAACAAAAACATTCCCTCTCAGGACTATACCAACCTGGACGATCTACATCTACAAACATGTAAAAATTAATGCCCAACATAAAGTTCTGATTAGAGCCATAGAAGTAGACCAAAAACAAATTGTAATTTCCATCCCACCGAAAAAGTTAAACATTTGCACCTTCCTAACACCCTTTGAAAAAATCTACAACCGTCTCAAACGAGAACCTGTTAATGATTCATCCGGATTTTTTCCAGACCCGATCAAATGCAAATTAAAAGACATTGCCGACTCAGGTTTCCGAAGTTACAGCCCACCACCTTTCCTTTATTCACAAGAAGACTTGAACATTTTAAATAACTTAAAAAACGACAGAACTATCCTCATCACTAAACGTGACAAAGGAAACGGCATCGTAATACTTAACAAAGACGACTACATAAAGAAAATGGACACACTCTTATCTGACACTACAAAGTTTCAACCTCTTAATGGAGATCCAGTTAAAGTCACTTTGCAATGAGAAAATCAAGAGAAGTCTTTATTAAAAAAGTTGAAAGATGCTAAATCTATCGGCCAAGAAACTTACAAAGAACATTACTCCACTGATTCACGAATAGGTATATTGTATGGTCTTCCTAAAATACATAAATGTAAATCCCTCCAGACCAATTCTTTCCTCCATTAATCACTATTCGTATAAACTAGCAAAGTTTTTCATCCCACTCCTTAAACCCTTCACTATAAGCAACCTTATCATCAAAGACTCTTTCTCCTTTGTTGAAGAAATCCTTAATTGCGATATCAACTCCAGTAATGTTGTCCTTGCTAGTTTGATGTCGTGTCTCTATTTACTAACATACCTGTCGACGAAACCATCCACATAATATCCAAAAGCACTTTTAACAACCACCAGTACTTCAACGGACTCACTGCAACAGAATTTGAAAAACTACTCTCTCTAGCTGTTAAGAACTGTCACTTTATCTTTAACGGGAAAATGTACCAGCAAATTTATGGTGTGGATATAGGCAGTCTATTGGGCCCTCTCTTTGCTGATATATTCATGTCCTTTCACGAACAATCCTGGCTTAATAAATGTCCTTCTTCATTCAAACTACTACTTTACCGATGCTACGTTGACGACTGTTTTTTACTTTTTCATTCCTCCGATCACGTCCCTCTCTTTCTTGACTATCTGAACCGACAACACCATAACATCACTTTCACAGCTGAAGTCGAACAAAACAGAAAGCTCTCATTTCTTGACATTGATATCTCTCGCACTAATGGAAAATTCACCACTTCCGTCTACCGCAAACCTACTTTCACTGGCCTCTTCACCAACTTCCACAGCTTCATCCCACTTACTTACAAACTTTCACTAGTCTCCTGCTTACTTCACCGCATCTTCAACCTTTGTTATACTTACGAAAATTTTCATACACAACTAGAATTTACCAGAAAGTCACTCACCAAAAACGGTTTTCCTTCACGTATAATTGACCAAATTACACGTCGCTTCCTTAACAACACCTTTGCCCCCAAACCACCTGTCTTGATTGCTCACAAAATGCCTATCTATTTTTGTCTTCCTTTCACCGGCATACACTCCCTTCAAATTCGCACACAAATCAATAGCCTTTGTGCTGCAGCCTTCCCACATATATCCATTAAATTTTATTTCCGCCCTTCCCAACGTATCTCTTCTTTCTTCCCCTTTAAGGACAAAATTCCCAAACCTCTGAGATCTGGTGTAGTTTATTTATTCAAGTGTCGAAGCTGCAACGCTTCGTATGTGGGTCAAACCACACGTCATCTACACACCAGATTTTCGGGGCATTTGGGAATATCCCCCCCTTACAGGCAACCAAGTTTCCCACCCTGCGTTATCGAGCATTTTTGCTCACATTAACGCAACTGGACACACCCAACTTAGACGACTTTAAAATAATCTCCTCTTCTAACGATTCTTATGAACTCTCCATTCATGAAAGCCTTCTAATCAATAAATACAAGCCTTCTAATCAATAAATACAAGCCTTCACTTAATGTGCAAGGAAACTCCATTCCACTTAACCTCTTTTAATTCTCTTTATTTTACTTCCTAACTTCCTTATCATATATCCATTTACAAAATAAAACAAATTCCGAAGAGGGACATCTCGTTTTCTTGATATTCAAGATATTACAAGAGTTTGAAACAAAAGATGGTGTAATATTTCTTCTTTATTCCAAAGACATCATCAGACTTATAGTTCAAACTATCTCGACTGACATAATGCTATGTTAATTAAATAAAGCCAGTTTACATCATCACATGACATAACGAGTTCAAATCTCGCCCAAGTCACATGTTTTTCATGTGCATATAGAACCGTGTTAGGATTAATATCTTAAATGACATAACGACATGTGAACAGACAATGTGAATATGCACATATATTGTGCAATATACAATGCTCCTTTTCACCCGGAATGTACGCCATAATAAACAACTCTCGATTAAGGCTTGCGTTTAACGATTCGAAGAATCATTTGGTGATAATTTTTGTCAAAGGTAAGAGCTGTCATCTGAATTTACAAGAATTACGTCGAAATATATAAAATATCTGCTAAATAATGTTCATAAAGCTATATTAATGTTATGTGTTATGCCGTTTATAGTTATGTAATTTTATTGGCAAATCGTATAAAATTTGTCACTATTATGAAATATAATCTGTTAATAAGAAAACTAGATATATTATTTAAAAGGAAATCTTTCGAAAGTGTCTTTAACTTTGATACAAAGACACGTCGTTGAAATTAAATATTAATGTCACTCTTGAATGATCGTGTGCTATGTTTCGTTGTTATATTTGTATGTCACACAGCAAATAATTTGCTCGTGTTTGGTTAGGTGAAATATGTGTAGATTTTGACGGGTATGGATTTTTACAAGTAGATTTCGAACGTTAAAATGTTGGCGCGTGATGTCAATGGTTGATGTTGATGAGTTGATGTTGACACGTAGATTTTGACGGGTAAATTTTGACGTTCAGGCTGCGGCGAGTAAATTTTGACAAATAGGGTTTGATGGTAGACTTTGACGGGGAAAAGGTGTTTACAGGCTGAATTTGACTACATTTTGACCGGTAGATTTTCAATTTTCTTTCCTGTAATGAAGATTTATTGATTACTACAACGATATTCTTTTACAATTCAGTAGAAAGCAAAATATTTCATAAGATCTTGCATAACAACCATTCAAAATTTGCAACCCAAGCAATTAAAGATCAAGCGATCAAGCAATCAAGCAATTTCACACTGCTTGTTTCGTGTGCGTCGGAAATTTATAAGAACATCATTCATTATTAGTCTGTATCGTGTACGAAATATCAGTAAATGACGTAAAGAAAATGGAGTGATAGTTGAGTGAGAGTGAGAGAAGCAAGTTAGTTGTGAGACGTATGTGACCGAGTCGGAGTCTATTGTACAATATACAGTAACGAACGTACTTATTTTGAAAGTGCTATTTGTTAAAACACCTTTGTATACCTTATTGTCCGGTGATTATATTTGGTTTACTTTGATCGATTGTGACTTGTCGAGGAGTACGAATTTGAAGGCATAATTCTCGATACGTTTTCATGCCCATATTTTCACATTTTCCATCAAGCAGAAAAACCGTGACTCTCTTAAGTTACCATTCTCCTAGAGTCCACGTTCTCTGATGTAAACTACAATATGTGACTATTAAATTTCAGAGATTGTGTACTATGGTTAGAGACAATATCTTCATTGGGGCAAACTGAAATCTGTTGAAAGTAAATGTCTCACTTCCTCTCTGTCATCTCACATTTAGATAGTGTTCAAATTTTGTTTTTATTATAAATTTTGAATGTTTGTTGCGAAATGTCTTTTGAACTGTTTTACATTCTACACAATTCACGAAGAAGATCATCGTATTAATCAAAAAATCAGATAAAACGTAAGAAAATTATGTACTCTTCGAAATGAACTGTCAACATCTAATCGTTAACCCTTGCCCGTCTTTAGTCGCACTGTAAAGGCCCGTTTCAGTTCCGACTTTTTGGTTGCTTGTTCCGATGGTCAGATGATTTTGTTGATACCTATATTTAAATTCTTTTGGATATTTATAGTCGTGTGAACAGCCATTTGTGTTATCCAGTACATTTATCGAGATATTTTTTGTATTTTTGTTCTTGTTTCCAAGTCCTTTTCAAATTTATACAATTTGATTAGTCGGCTTCCTTTGATCTTGATGGTTGAAAATAGAGAAGTTCTATTGCCATGCGCGTTCTATTTCCGACAAATCGGATCGTTTCAACGGGCCTTATAAAAGCATAGATGCATTGTAGAAGAGTATAATGCTTTGGCCTGATTGGCTAAAAGCAGTGAAGGCCAAAATAAACCTCTTTTTAATTAAAACAAGCATAGCGCAGTTTTACGTGAACAATGAACTCCACAGATGCATGCATGGTTAGTAGAATTCAAGTATAACAAAACAATACAAAGAATAAAATCAAAACAACAACCACAGTTTTTTCTGAATGTTTATAAAAGTTGCTACGCAATGAACCTTTTCTCTATCGATAGAGAGCGAGTAACAAAGCGAGTTAGAGCTAGACGGTACAGTTGAGAAATTTGTGCATATACAAAAAGCATGCTTTCGTTCTTCAACTCGCAATATTTTGTTGCTGTCCTTAAACAACTCAGTCGTTCATGTTATGCTAATGATGGCTTTTAATCACTAGTATCAAAAATGGTAAAATAAATATCATTTTTTTAAAAAATCATAGTAATATTGAAAATACATGTTTGACCGTTCATGTTTTATTTATTTTACTGATGTACTAAATGTTTTTCCAATAGGACCTGGCTAAAAGACATGCAAAAATCGCGTCAAGGAAAAGCTGTGATTTTACGTTGTACTGCTTCGAAGCTGAGCAAACACATCGTAGTATCAAGTGTCTGTGCTTTACTAAACACTAATGGCGGCCAGTTTGTAATACAATGTGATGGCAATGCTGTAGGTGATGAAGAAATTGAGAAAAAGATAAAAATCGTGGAGCAATGGATTGAAGAACTTCTTGGTAAAATGTTTATGCTCGTCAAAATCAAATTCAATGTTTCTCTTCAAGAAATATGCATCTCTGTCGAAAAGTTCCATGATTTAGTGACTGTGGATTACAAGATGTTTCTTCCTTCGCCTTCACAAATCTACAAGATATCAGGTCAATCGTTGGTACTTGCTCGAGAAGCTGTATTTGCGAAAAATTCCAGTACGACAACAAGATACGATTTGCCAGTTGTGCAGGAATCATTTATATACGGATCTAAAATCTGTATGTTTGAATCATATGAAGTTCAGTTTAAACGATTCAAGCGGGAGTCAACCAATAGCACCAGCTTGGCAGATAGACTTGTTGGTAACAAACTTCTGGAAACTATTTCAGCGTTTGCAAACTATCGCGGTGGAGCAATTTATGTAGGTGTTAATGACGATTCACGGGAAATTCATGGAGAACGAGTGACAGCAAAGGAAAAAAAAAATATTGCTGAACACGTTACCGAAAAAATCCACGAAATGGTTTGGTTTTCTCTTCAAATGAAGCCTTCCCGGGGAGTCCATTGGGACATATACTTTCGTGGCGTAGTTGACGAAAATAGCAAGTTGATGGAGTCAACGTATGTTATTGTTATTGTTGTTGCTCATTGTGCTGGTGGGGTCTCTGTTGGGGAACCAGAAAGCTACCACATTGTCAATGATGTTGTAAAAAGAATGGATTTGGTAACATGGACAGAAAGATTTTTTCGAAAAGACTCATTTTCTTATTTTCCAACTTCTGGCATTGATCGAACTAATTGGAGCTCTGAACGTAATCGTGATTTATTTCATCATGTGAATGGATTATTGATACGATCAATTAATTCTGGCTCGTGGGATGAATTTTGGGTGGAAAAGGAAAAGCTAGAAGTAGAGAATTCCAACTGCAAAATGATTAAACTGGTTGTTATTTCGAATGAAATAACTGCCCATTACAAACTTGGGCGTTTTGACCGCGTGAAAGATGGGATTAAAGACTATGAATCACTTTTGAGTAAATCTACAGTTGATGCAAATATTAATGAAGCTCGTTTGTATCTTTTAAAGTCTTGTATTCAACGATGTCGGGGTAACATTAAGAATAGTTACGAAGAAGCTAACAAAGGCTTAGCAATTGTTGATCGACTCCCACGTGGTATTGTTGTCGGTGAATATTTTGCAGTCTTGCTGCCGTAATCACCATTCTTCTACAGCACGTAACCGAGCCGGAGCAGTTTCAAAATTTGATTAAAATGGGTACTACTTTTTCTGAAAAAGCAATCATGAATCTTGACGATACAGAATATTGCGATTTATCGAAATTTGATCAAAAGCAGAAGGCACACATTAATCTTGCTTTTTTGCATCTACAATCTTCTTTCATGGTTTGCACCAAACCAGAAATTAAAATAAGTAACAAGGATTTGGAGATAGCTAAAGAAAGTTTAAATGCCGTTGACGAGTTGATCAACAAAGGTTATCCCCTCACAGAATATCGTGAATGTCACTATCATCTTGCGCGATCAATGCTCTTTTATCGACGTTCTCAAAAAGCTGATTTTCAAGAGGTGGAGAGACTACGCAATGAGGCCGTTCGCTTTTTAAAGAAGGCTGAAGACTTAGCAACTAAATGTAAATTTAAAAGCTTGGTAGAATGTTCTCGTAAATATTTAGACATGTTTCACCTATACCCTTGATGTTTTCGATATTATAACTAAACGTTAGCTAAAACTTTTATAAATGAATTAAAGAGATTTTTCTACAAAGAAATTAAATATTAGTTCTTATTAACCTGGGGTGGTTCCAGGAATTTTCGTAAGCGAATCACAGATTTATGACGTTATACAAAAACCAAAGTTTCCTCATTGAGGACGTCATACTTAACAAAATGTATAGGTAAGAACCACTGACCTGTATACTAATTACTTGGACGGAAATCTACATCCAAGTTACTATACTTTATTAACGCGCGGCCGAGTATCTAAAACATGGATGCCACCATACCAAACATGGTAAATTTGGGTGAAAAATGACGTGCCTCATTCAATGAAAAGTTTTGCACTCCCCCGGAATATTTTAACTTTGATATTTTTATTGCGCCGTTGTAACAGAAACTTTTATATTTCAAAACTTTCTTTATAAAATGCGAAAATATTGTGCGGTACCTGGTTGCCAAAATAGTGCAGCAAATGATAAGTTTTCAATGCACCGGTAAGAAAGAACGACTATAATTTTTGTGATTGTACTTATTGCTTTTACAATTCAGCGCCGTCGCTTTTTGTTGTCGCTTTTTTACATTTGCTTTATCGCTTTTTTGCAATAGCTTTTTTCGCTTCATTTTCTTTAGTATTTTTCTCATCTTAATTTATCTTTTATCATTTAATGATATATCTTTAATTTCAATGGCTTTTGTTGAATTTTTTGTAATTCATTAAAAAAAATGTAGCTTTCCAAATGAAGCGAAAGAGCCGACTTTTCAAGATGACGATTAACATGACGATCAAAACAACACAATTTGTGTTGAGGTTTAGTATTAAAATTAGTAAATGGTGTAATCCTGTATCAAAGAAAAATACAAAACGAAAACTCAATGATTCGTGTAATAAATCTTTTATTTTCATTTTTTATGGTTTGTCATCAATTTATATCATAACACAAAACTTATAAACATACGTATCACTATTACTTTCACTTCAGGTATAGTAAAAATTTGCATAGTAATATAATGGGAAAAAATCCAGCTAGTTATGATTTAGATGCAACAATCCTCAGCAAAAATAAAGAAAGTTGAGCCTAGAATCTAGATGGCTGAACAAGAAAGTAGACGACACAACTGTCATATAACGAGCAATCGGGATTTGGCAAACCAAGCCAAAATTCATCAAAACTCAAAAGAGTCATTACCTTTTTCATCGTATGAATACGTGTCCATCAAATCCTCAATTTTGCACTGATTCGATAAACAGCTCAAGTACTTCACAGCCACGTTTCGAAATAAAAAGAACTTGACCACCAAACCCCGAAAAATTTGTCTTTTACAGTTTACATACAAGTACTCAGTTGCTTAGTTCTCAATTTAAGCTCAGTCACAGGGGTGAGTGAATGATAAAAATAATTTTTCAAGTGGAAGTTTTTCACCCAAAATTTCCTTGTGGCATCCATGTTTTTGATACCCGTGTCCAGATCTCTTTTCCCCTCCAAGTAATTTAATAGAACTCAATGGTAAGAACTCGCGTAGGTATTTGAAGTATTTCAAACTAGCATTTTAGAGTTTTTGCAGTTAAAAATAACGACATAAAAGACTGCTCTGCTCGTCATCATGTAAGAATTTTTGTTGTTACACTGTAGAAAGATCGAAAATACCAAGAACTGCAAATTTATTGTCCGTAGTTGTTACTGTTTGTACTGAATGGCATTATACTTTAAAATTACAAAATGTTCTTTGCACCAACACTTTAAAAGAATATGATTATTCAATGATAAAAAAAGATTGCTCATACCGAGTTTTGCTAAAGTAATAAAAATGCTTTTCTATATTGCTGACATAAAGTCTAGGCTGTTCAATTTAAAATAAATAATCAACAATCTTTAACGCCCAGTATTGTCAACAAATGACAACATTTGACACTATCTTCTGCCTCGTTTCGATTTTCAGACCTTGTAAAAATATTTTTTCCGTAAGGATCTCACAGCCGGTAAATAACATATCTATACTTCACATTCTGTTAAAAATACTTCTTATTAAACGGAGTGCTATGTATATATCTATATTATATATAAACCAAATTAGCTTCAAACAACATGTCAACGTCTGCAAGAAACATGCAAAGCAGAAAAAAACCTACATGTATGGTCAGAGGATCATCAATAGCAATAGTTAAATAATGTTCATTAAGAAACTTTAGTGTTTTTATTTTCACTAAAGTTTTAAAAATTGAAAAGTAGAAAGGAATAACGTAAAGAAGAGGAAAGGAAGTATACTAAACATTACTGACTAAACCATTCTCGACATGTTGAATGTTCACATAAGAACGAAGTCTAAGCATTTCTTCATAACTGGGTTCCTTCTTCATGTCTTCATTCCTTACTTCCACCATTAATGACTGGTAATGACTTTCTTTGCTCATATCTGAAGCTTCCAGTCCTTGATAGGTTTCATCAAAGATGCCATTATTTTCTGTCATTGATTCGTAACTTTCTCCGTTTTTCATCATTGTTAAGTCCACTTCTTCATAAGTTGCTTCATTTGCGCCATGACATCGCATGAACGTTTGATAATGTTCTCCATTATCGTTGTTTGATGGTTCCAAGTATTCTATAGAGTTTGTATTCCTCCTGCTCTTGTTTTCTTCGTTTGAGGATTGTTGCTTCTGCATTTTTTTACTTAACCGTCGTTGACGAAAGCGAACGACGAAAAAGGAAGTAAGAAAAATTCCAGTAAAAATTCCCACGATCAATGTTGCTAAAATCAAATACCAATACCACCAAGACCATGTACTTTTGATTCCTTTAAAAGTTGACTTCACTACATTGAAAGCACAAAAAAACCTAACAATTAAATGATCTCTTGACAGTTGTCCTTTTATTATACTCAGCATTAAGTTAGTGAAAATGATGGAAAACCAGTAAACGTATATAAGCCAATAAGTTTGGTTTTTGAATTGGTTTTTTAGACTTTCTTTTAACTTATTTTTGATTGCGAGTTTTTGTTTTTGCCACTTTTCAAGATGGCGTTTTTGCCTCACCTCACACGGTAGTAAGAAATCTAGGGGATTGGGTTTTGTGTTGTTTTATAATTATACAACATAAATTGCATTTGTATACTTGATCTATAAAAGCAAGGAAAGTTTGAAAATCTTATCAAACATTTTAAAAGTCAAACAAAGACTGTTTTCTTTGAAATTGTATATCAGAAGAAGCAGATTTTAGTCGTAAATATCGGTTTGCCTCACTCGTAGCAATAAATTTTCATTGCTACTGTTCTGCCATGTTGTATAATTCATGTATGGCCATCTTAGCCATTTCTCATTGCCATTTGAGCTGCGTCCGTGTCAGCACTGCACTAGCTATCTAGTACACCTATAGTTACATTGAGTTAGCCTTCCAGTTGTTTTAGAGTTCACTGTCAAGTTTCAACATTATCGTTGTTCATTGTGGGATGCGTTGCCTTTCATTTAAGAAAGTTTTTACTCTTCAAAATACGATATTTTACCCTCAAAGCATTCGATTTTTAGTCAAACAATGTCAAAAAGAATGATTTTCTTACCAACATTATTCTTGATATCAGCTTGCCTAGTTGTTTTACCGTGGAAATATTTTTCGGTCTTTATCACGTCTATCCAATAAAAGTTGTAATGCGAACCCTGTACATATAGGAAATAATATATGCATAAAAAGCATATGATGTGAATTAAGTACACGTCAATTCATCAGTTCACTTGCACCAAACAAGCAAAATATATATATGTGAAACAAGACTCATTGGAATGGTCGACAAAACGAAGGATGTACGAGGACATGTAGACTAGATGTATCTAGTAAACTTTGCACTATTGTATGATAGGTTTGATAATGTATTAAATACACTATGAAAATTAGAGTGACTTACATTATTCCTGAATCTTCTTTGAAAAACAGAATAAAATGTATCCGGATGAAGCTCAGCATTTTCGTACAAAACAGATCTTGCTTTCCCTATAGCCGAGCGACTGTAAGTTTTTCCGTCTCCAATGGTAAAAAGGTTGCTTTTAAAAGTTTCGACATCGAACTCAGCCGCAATGTATGTATGTTGCTTAGTGGAAGCATTTGCTTCGTAAGCTTTAAGGTTTTCACTTGGATAGCTATCCGGTTTGTTACTAGTTGCAAGCCTTGAAACAATTATTTGAATGTATCTAAACATAGAGAAGCGACAAAAAATTTCTGAGCGAAAAGAATTAATTAGGCGCTTGACTTAAAATATTATCGCCGTACTAAACAATGACTTACGCGTCATCCTTCTGAAGGCCACCAATATAAACATCGAAGGTAGTTGATGATTTCCTTCCACTTGATTGAAAGGTGTCTGAAAACACTGAAATATTTTAAAGACATGCGGGAATAAAAAGTAAAATATTACTGAAAGTGGATTTTGATTAACCTTTCTTATGTTAATCAAAGCTTAAGAAAAAATTGAAAACTTCATTGAGACTATGAAAGACAATACATTTAACACAGATACAAATTTAGTGGATAATTTTTTCGAAGAAAAACGACTATTCAATTGAAAAAGACGTTATGTTTATATCGGGCATTATTCATACAGGTAAACAATTTGGATAAATGTATATGTTCCTAATGAGAAAATATGAGTTATGTTACATGCAGGAATGCATATATGACGTATTCCAGATAGTTACTGAAAAAATTTCATAGTTGAAAAAAAGAACATCAATGAATTAATGTAAAATGTTGAAGTGACTGAAGATTATAAAATCATTCGGACGTATGTTGTTTTGTTCCCGCAAAAACAAGAAAAAGCAAAACCGAAAAGTTTTATGGATAACCTTATGATACAATGACCTGTATGGCTGGAAATGTTTATAATATTTTGATGATATTTAAGATTCGATTGTTTTATAATTTTATAGTGTGCTTTTAACATTTTCACTGTTTTCTTGTGAACTGTTTCTCATTACAAGAAATTTCCTTTCATACCTGATACTGGCATGCCCGTGGTGCAAGTGAAGTACACAAGTAGAGTTGGTGTTTTGCTGCAGCGGGATGGTTGAGATAAGAATGCCTTTTTTTCAACTTTGAAAGAGCATTGGCTCTTTCCATTGCAGCGTTTTTGCACAACATTGAACACTGATGTTGATAAGCAGTCTTTCTCTGCTGAGGCTATTCTGTATGGTCGTCCACTCATCAAAATACCATATTCTGCTGATAGTACTTCGATCTTTGAGCTAGAGCATTCTTTCTTGCAATGAATGCTCATTTTTCCGAACTCATAAAACATTCTTTCTTGCACTGCAACGAAAATCAAATGAACGTATTCAAAAATCAAGTTTTGTTGATCATCTTTCGCACAACTTTTACGCTGTGTGCGCCTTATTTCCTACCACACAATGAGAAAAATTACCATGAAACTAAAGGATTAATATGATATAGGTTTATGACAAGAAGGATTTGAAAAACAGTTTTAAAATTAAGAAGACAATTAATCATATACTATGAGGCATGACGTGGTCATAAATCTGTAAGTAATGAATTCCTTATCTGATTTCCAACCCGTATTTCGGCCTTATTGTATGAATAACCCATACATGAACATATCTTATAACCGTTGATTATAAATTTATAACTTTTCCATAACAATGCCATTGGTTATGAAATTGCATGGAAGTAAATGTTATCAATTGATGAACTGTTTTGAACGGAGGCATTTGGTTTCAACTAATAACGCGCCATAAAAATATAACACTTAGAAATGAGGGTTTAAGACCTGAGATTATGGAGCCGAGTACCGCAGGTACTCGGAGGGCATGCTTCCCGGAAAATTTATAAGTTAACAAGCTCTGAAATTCCCTTTCCTGAATTCTGGTAGAAAAAACAATATTAACAGTATAATTTCAAATGCGCTGCCTGCACGCAACTGTTCATTGACAGCATTTCTGCGTTCAAAAACACGATACTGTTGACTATATGGTATACTTTTTGGTTTGTATATTAACTGGTAGTTCGACTGAGTTATATATATGCATGAACTCAGTATATAAGAAATGGTTGCTGATTACTCCACAGTTTGATAATAATCAATTTCTGACGAATTTTGAAAAGGTGTGCACAAAGAAAGATTTCTTCCGTATCCTAAACACACATCAAGAATAAGTTAACAGCTCACTTTAATGTATATAACTTACCATATTTAAATTTACACGAGTTATCAACAGCACAGACCTTCTTTCAAATGGAAACTTTTTCATCTTCATTCGGCTCCCACTTATTTTTGTCTACAGATAAACTACCTAAGCATATGTCGTATGGTTCCTCATTATAATAGAACTTCAAATTTCCATTCTCAGTTGGTAGGTATCTTCCTATCTTTTGAGCACAATAATGGAGAGGATTTGCTATCATGAGATTATTATCACCAGGATCAGAAAGACTCGATCGCCATCTAAAAACAGCAAAGGTATGACATCTACAATTTTCAAGTATTAAGTATATAGTTGTATCCTGTTTTTCAAAAAATATTATAAAATACAAATATTGGAAAGTTATTCTCGTTTCGGTTCATCAAAAATAAAGACGAAATAAACAATTATGGATACAGGCATCAATAAATAATTGCTCAATAAAACATTGCCGTTATGAACATAATAACCTATATGTTCATGATGAAAATTCGCTTGCCGCCTGGCAAATTTCTGGCCACGATTTTGAGAAAACGCTGTAAGTTGAATTAATCAAACCATCCATTTGAATTTCTTTGAATCTTACTTACCGTAATGTGAAAAATGTATAAAACCATAATCCAACTATGTATGCCAGCATTAAGACAAAAGTCAATCGCATGCAGAGTTTAACGATTGCGAAAAAAATTACTTCAATTGCCTACTTCAAATGAAACCTTCTATTCACAGAAAATGCATCGAAAAGCAAACGACTCAAATTCTCGCTGAAAAGTTTATTTGACTATTTCAGATAGTTTTCATGAGTGAGTCACTCAAAATATTGCAGTTAACTTAACTAGGCGAGTTAACTCGAACTTACTAGTGGGTAAAACACATTTCCCAGTTGCCACGTGTTGTGGCGGATAGTCATTTGATACTAGGAAGAAAGCATTTCTCGAAGTGCAGTCACGTGACCAAATGAGGCCACCGCGAAAATCTTGCAAGTTGATGCAAAGTCCATTAGCATGCTGAATTGGACCATAATCTAAAGAAGAAATCACCACAATTATAAACCCAAATACACTTAAGGAAAATACAAGTAGTCTAAAATAGTCAGAAAACTTTCCTTGATATTGAAACTTCTAACTTATAGCAAGGGACGTCCTTAAAATTCAGAAAAAAATTTCGATTTCATTTTTTAAAAATTTTACAGACTACTCAAGCAAGCAAGTTTGAGTACAGGAAGTTTGAATACAGGAAGTTCGAGTACTCCACTACGATATTTATATTCCAGCAAAATCATTGATTCCATTTTTACAAAATACACAGATTGTATAGTTGTTTTCACCCGGTAAAAACAGTTAAAGTTATTTCGCTTTAGTGAATTTAACTTATTTAAGGTATAAGATAGTGAAGCTATACGCGCAATCAAAAGAATGAGCCAAAACATCTATATTATTTGTCCTATATGGCCGCTGAACATCACAAATCAATAAAATTAATTAATTCGTAATGATTGATAGTGAATAGTTTTCACTTTCTTGAGTCAAATATTTTGCGGTATTTGTCACATCAGACTATGCATACGTACAATAAATTTTGAAAATTTGCCGTACAGTTTGATTGTGCTTTTTAAATCTTCAGTACCTTTTTTTTTAAAATAACATGAGGGATAAGCTGTTTGGTCGAAGCAGCATATTCTTGGACATTTTTCCTCTTTCTTCACGTTATTACCACACTCAAAGCGTTCACCACTAGATATCTCGCACGACCTAGCTGGAAAGCGGCAATGTTGAATTATTTATTTGAAAGTTATTCAACATATGCAGAAGACTTAATTGGCTATACGCAGATAAAAACGGCTTTCATGTTTAAAATTTTTACTTGTTAAGTTTTTAGATTTCATGATTCTATGGTGTTGCAAACCTGCCAAAATTCTATGGCATATAAACACCGTCGCCATGTCTAGAGTATTTTGGGTACCTTTCAGAAAATCAAAGTTCAAAGTTGCATGTATTGAGTGAGAATATGTTTGCCTCCCCTCTGTCTCAAAAGATCGATTTAAGTTGGTCTTCAACTTTGAAAGAACAATTAACCTCGGGGAATTTTACATGTTTTCGTTTAAAAAGTATTCAAACGTGATGATAAATAAGCGTTAGCAAGTGGGCGGCAAAAAGTAAACTTTGCATATGTTACAAAATACGTGGTTGACAATTATATTCCGTGTAAACCATGAATTGGTTTTGTAATGTTTATTCTTCATGGCACCAGAGCGTTTTCAAAACAATCAGTTATCAGCTACCTTTTTAACACTTTTCGCTAGGTAAAAAATGATTGTCTATCAATGATTGTCTATGAATTGATCAGCCATTAAAATTTTTAGAATAAATTTTTAATTTATAAAAATGCCCCATACAAACAGATAACAAGCAAGTAACTACAGCAAGATGAGTTGTACAAATTCACAGTAAAGGCAAAAATTAAGAAAAAGTTCATCACAAAGTTTCACAAACCTTTTATCGGCTGAAATAAACCGACAAACAACGAAACAAGAGCGAGAACTTGCAAGAAACCGATCATTACTTTTCTTTTTCCCGTCGATACCAAGGTAGAATTAAAGCAAGAGCCACAGACTTGATATCGTTGAATCTGAAAAAAGACGTCGGCTTATGAAGTTTATTTTCTCAACACACAAATATATAAATGACCCTATTTTCACGAGGACAAGAGCACTTGTACACAACGTGTAGCTGACCATAAAATGTCATCCTTTCATTTTTGCTTTGAAGTAGAGGTAAACTGAAAAATATCAATGAAAATTGCATGCAAAGCGTGGTTTAGAAGTGGATCTATCACAATGTTGAATACATTGAAATGATGAATATGAAAGATTTTGTCATCGTTGGTTGCCAGTTATTCACATTGCAACCTCAGCCATTTTAACTTTTAGGTTATATTTAATATCTAAGATAATTGATTACATGCATCATTCAAACAAAGCAATTAATAAGCCCTTATTAACCGAGCTCGAGGTCTTTAGGGAGAAACATCCGAGCGAAGTTTTTTTGTAAAGATATTTGTGATCGATATTTCTAAGTAAACACTCAGAAAGTAAGGTTATTAAAAGGTTTATTACATGGCAATGACCTGAAACGAAGCTTGCTTTCTTTGTCGTCTTTGCCGTTTTGTACGGGTTGGTTTTCACTTTCTAGTTTTCGTCAGTAAAAAATAAATCGTTTCAAATTGTATTGTCTCGATAGTTAAATTGTTTTCCGAGTATTTTTCCTTCGACTCACATTCGCAAATGGTTTTTTATTTCGCTTTTTTTGCGTTTTGCTGTCTGCTTTATGAAGTTTGTTTACATTTGTCTGTAAAATTATGCGTTTTGAAAAAGATATTTCTCTCAAATGGATAGCCGGAAAAATGCTTGATAAACTTTTCTCATCCACAAAAAAATGAGCAGAACAGGCTTCTGACCAGCTGAGTGCCCTGTGTTTATCAAACTTCCATGGATGGGTAAGGCTACATTGTTAGCTGGAAAGGTATCGAATATGGTATTAGGGAAACGAAGGACAACAAATTCACTGATTTACATGATACAGAAACTTTAATGGTTTCAAAAATAAACAAGCAAACTAATTGCTAAAACGAGAAAGGAAGAATTCTAATATGTGACTAAAGGAGATTTTCTATCTATATTATAGATTCTATAACAACAAAACGCTTAGTGTCATACGTACTTAAAGTGTTTTGGTTCTTGAATCTTACGTAGAATTTTTTATAGAATGCCTATCGCAGTTTACTTTGAGGGAATTTAGTTTTATGTGGTCATTTTGATGAACCAATACACTTCATGCAAAACTTGCAACATATATTTGATATTTCAAATAAACTACTTCGAAGGGGGAATTTTAACAACACGTTTTTCAGCAATCAAAGCATTTTGTAACTACTCTCAGAAAACTTAAAAATTTTAACAGAAATATAGATTGAGTCGTTACTCAAGGATGTACAAAGAAATACAATTCTACCAACATAAATAATGGATGAAATCATTTAAGAGATTTAGCTCATACTTTTGAGGTTTGTAGCTAATTGTATTTGTTACTGTGAATTTATCACATCATAAAGATCAAAGGCATCGTCGTTGAGACAAAGCAAATGAAACAGGTGTTTCAGATGAAATGTTTTTCGTCTTTGATTGGATTCCAACCAAACACCTTGACAATACCTATTTTGGGAGTATTTTAAAACACATCGAGCATACATTATTTTTCATAATAGAAAAAAAGCAGAGAAAAAGAAAAAGAAGTAGAAACGGACGTCAAAATATAAGAGAAAAATTAAAAATGGAAGTGAAACTAGAGCAAAAAGAAAATGGAGGACTATTATTGTGATTAAAATTTTCAATCGTCACAGAATATGGAATATGCAGAAGGTCACTCGTGTCGGAGCCTTTGATGTTTTGCCCTCACGCATGCTGTGCTACGCATATCGGCTGCCATTATTCCTGCAATATATTTAGGGTTTTATATATTCCCAACCACTAAAATGATCAACCATTTCTAAAGTTGAAATGTTGTCGATTTCCTTAAGACGAAAGACGTCATGTTATTGCAGTGGTTAGAAACAAGTGAAAAAGCTTAAGTATCTTGCTGGAATAATGGCTGCCATGAGGAAGCTGGGCACAATTCTGTCACCTTTCTGTTTAATTATCACTCTGTGCTATGGCTCCACCATCCTACCATCCTACCAATGCAAGTTTCAGTTCCATTATCACTCTGTGCTATGGCTCCACCATTTATCATCACTATCCCTACATCAACTACGTACATCATCACTATCCCTATATGAACTACGTATATCATCGCTATCCCTGTATCAATTATATCATCGCCATCCCAATATAAACGATTATCACTCGGGTATTCAAATTTACGCGCAACAAAACTGTGAAAAAAAATCATATGCCTAAAATTCCCAGCGTCTGATTGCACATACGATTTTCAATTCTTCTCAACTAGTGCATAAAAATCGTACAAACGAACAAACCACGAAGTAATCTATTATTACCAACCAAATCACCATAATATCACAACCATTTAAGTTTCCAATTCACCAAAATGGTGACACCATAATGAGGGCATTATGGGTTGTCTGGATGGTCTCCCTGTCCTCAAGTCCACCAAAAATTAGAATCATGTTGTCGCCAACATCTACCGAATGCAAGGACGTCGTTGGAATGGATTGATTGCGGCTGCTTAGCACATTCTTCCAACGACAGCTGTGGCTAGTTTCCAACTCGCAACAATCCAGTAAGTACATTAGCATTGGCGTTTGAGGAGTTTGAAGGTATAAGGCAGCGCTGCGCTTGGTGGGTCGTTTGGGCCTGGAGAAAACCACGACAGTCGTATTGACCATGACGGCAGGATGAGACCACAGTTGTGGCGCTTCGTAAATTTTGTCATTCACAGCAACTTCATGCCACGTCCAACAGTTAACGTTAAGAAGCCAAACGTCTGAAAACTCCTGGGAAATATAAATACGTATGTGATGAATTTTTATTCAAGTAAACAATTTAGCATCTATAACTTCTCAAACAAATCAAAGTGACAATAACGTCAAAATTTTTTTCCAAAATGGAATCTTGGCATTGTTTCTAGTATTATTGCGAAAACAAAAATTCAATTGGTCAAGTTTTTCAGTTTTTATCGCGCTTTAAATTTAGCAAAAAGCGACTTTTGACTGGATCAGGTCCGTGGTAGCTAGAAGCCTGAAACGAGTAAGTTTTTTGACGTCATCCAAGGGAGTCATCGACTATAGTCTATATTTACATTATTCTTTACATACTTTTGCGTTCAATACTTTGATAAGAAACAAATAACATTTGCGGATGGCAAATAGTTGTGTGGCTGTTAAATTGACAAAGATTGTGCCTAAACGACAAGCGACGAAAGGCAAGGGGCGGCGAAGAATATCAGTTGACTTTGATATAAAGGCGAAACAAAACGCGTCTTTTAACCATTTGGAAGGCTAAAGTGTACGTTTCGAGGATTTGGAGCCTGAAGATTACAAGCCCCGTTTTTCAATGTTGCATGATGAAAAGAAAGTAAATCGTATGCAGGCCGTTTGAAATAAAAGGATCGCTAACATCAGTTTATCAAAATACTTTGAGAAAGTGCTACATTGTTTATTATTCAGATGACCTTGTTGTATAACGCAGATTACTATAACCACTCGCTTACGTTCACCGAACAAATTCGTTGATTTTGTATCATTTTTAACGCGTGTAAGCATTTTTTTATATGCTGATTGTAGCCTGCTAACGATTTTTATTAGCGAAAGCTCCGTCTCGCATATATGCTGCTAGACCATTATTATTGTCGCTACCGTCTGTGGTGGTTGTCTTCAGTTTATTATCACGAACATCTCACGAACTATCCAACAACTACTGAACATGTACATCAAATTACGTGCAAGGCAAATAAAGATTATGTCATCTTCGACATTGTAGGAAGTGTCAATTACCTTCAGTTGTTGGATTATATACATAATATAAATTCTAACACGGTTTTACATGCACATGAAAAACATGTGACTTGGACGAGATTTAAACTCGCACCTTCGGGATACTAGTCCGCCGCTCTACCTGTTGAGCTACCAAGCCCACAGAGATTGTAGACGAGTCAAATCTCTTTTAAACTACTTATGGACGAGAGATTCTCGCCGGCTTTGGAATAATGTCGAAACACGGTGCCATCCAGTAAACTGCTATAGTGGCGAGAATCTCTCGTCCATACGCAGTTTAAAAGATTTGACTCGACTCCAATCCCTGTGGGCTTGGTAGCTCAACAGGTAGAGCGGCGGACTAGTATCCCGAAGGTGCGAGTTCAAATCTCGTCCAAGTCACATGTTTTTCATGTGCATGTAAAAAACCGTGTTAGGATTAATATGTTGGATTATTAACATATACATCAAAAATAAGACCAGTATTAGAGTATACATCGGCTGTTTGGGCAGGACTTCCACATTTTTTACAGCAAGAAAATGAACGTGTACAAACACGAAGTCTAAGAATTTTACAACTAGACAAAAACTACTTGATACCTTTGAAAAGCAAGCGTGAACTAGCAACTACCAAAGAGTTCAAAAGGATTATAGTGGAACTTGATCATTCATGCAAATTTTTAGTACCTTGTCCAAAAAGAAAATTCGCACGAGCTGCGTAATAGTAAAACTTATAGTACTTTATCTCGGACTAAACGTCATAAACAATCTTTTATTGCTAGATCTTGTAAAAATATATAATAAAGTTAACATGTAATTCTTAGTATAGTATGATAAATATATAATGTAAAAAGATGGAGCATGATTGAAAACATTTTTATCAGAAAATCAATGTAAATTCATCGCACTTTTTAATCTGAAGATGGATAATAAAAACTTTTCATATTTAACTGCCGGACTAATTCTGTAACTGGTAGCAATTGTCATATAAGCATCTCCTGTCATAAGATAGCGCAGGCAAACACAAAGTCTTTCCCTGGGACCTATTGAATCTCTATTTCTAATATCCTTTTTCTGAATTTGTGGTGCTATCCACGACAAAAAGTCTTCAAAAATCGACGGAGACATTCGAAAACATTGAAAGAAAAATTCATGGTCGTATTGAATAAGATCTTTTAGAAGAAGATGGAATTCTCCATTTACTGCCTTTCTTCGTACACTCGACGAACCCAAAACCTTTTTTTATATTTATAAATTCGCTTTTGTCGTCTTCGAATCGACAGTAAGCGCAAATAATGATTTCTTAACAAAAGTAGCCTTCGACTGTTGACTGCCGCCATTTTTAAACGCACCCCAAATATTTCGTGTGAAAATGAAACGTCAGAATATCGAAGTACTTTGCTTCGCATAAAGTCGATTCGCGCGATTATTTTCTCAAGTGGAAATCCGCCTTTAGAACTTTGCAATAAGTTTGTATTACTTATAAAGAATATGACTATCACGAAATTCCATTGAAAATCAGAAAAAAATTATGAATTAGCCGTCAAATTTTATCACACTTCGTCTACCGCAAATAACATTAGAACATTGCCGACTCCGGACTCCCTTGCATGATGTCAAAAACAAAGCTAGAGACAGTTGATTTGCTGTTACAAAATACGACGTCCGTGGGCCATCAAATACCAAATATAAATCACGATAAAAGTTGAAAGATTTGATAAAATGAATTTCTGTTTTCGCGAAAATACTAGAAATTATGCCTAGATTTCATTTCGCGAAAAATTTTTGATGTTATGGGCACTTTAACAAAATATATATATAGCTAAATATATTTAAAAAGTAATAACACTTTCACTACGCAAGTTCACTCGTCTGTAAGACTAAAAATCCACAATAGCTCAAAGCCCTTCCAACTACAGCTATAATAACGATGCACACCCCCCTGGGAAAATCTGCACCCTCCTGTGAAATGAGCATTTATCTGCCCCTGTAAAAAAGTGGAGTTGAAATGTAGTGATATAAATGGTCGTTGTGGTAAGTTTTTCAGCGAGGAAAAAAACGTTTGAAAGGTAGAGGAATGGGTTAAACCAGTGAACATGAAAAAAGTGTAAACATAAATACACATTTAGTGAAAACAATGAACAAAGCTATCACCATCAGATTGAGCTAGTATCTTACGTAAGTAACTAAGTCAAGAATGGTTGCGCTGTCTTACCGTATTTCTATACCCACAGCCTCCAATTATCAATATGTTTTCATCGCTCACAGTAACCTAAAATTGTAAATATAGCTTAGCAACGCATATACAAACACATTTTCACTAAATTTGATAAAGACGTGACAGCTAACATAGTAAACAGCCGCATTCTAGTGTGTGCTCTGCAGGTCATGATTACAAAACTTTAATGGTTTTGGAGATTCATTTAGTCTTAATTTGTGCATTTGGTACAAGTTTGTGGAAAGTCAATGCACAGTATTACGTAAATTACCATTGCTGTGTGCCTGTGTCATAGATTGTTGTTTTGTTTTATGTTTAATGAAGTAAGATTTGTATTTTGTGTCGGTTTGAGGACAGTTTAGTGTTGAATATACTAGCTATAGTCAAGTTGTTCGAAAATTGTTAACCTTGAACAACTCCCCGATGCGGAGCAGCAATGAGCAAGTGTCATTGCTGCTCCGCATCGTATGTGTGTCAAACCACGCGTCATTTACACACCAGAATATCGGAACACTTGGGAATCTCTCCCTTAACAGGGAAACCTTCCTTATGTCCACCACCATCTGCAATTCTTTCCCATATAAGAAATACATCTCACTCTCCGATTTTAATGACTTCTCAATTCTCTCTTCCTCCTCCGACAATTATGACCTTATGATTCATGAAAGCCTTCTTATATCCAAACTTAAACCCTCTCTTAACACCCAAGGAAACTCAATCCCCCTTCACCTTCTTTAATATACCGCCCTTCTCATTTCATTCCGTCATCTAAACTTCCTACTCCTCTCACATGTAATTTAACACCCTGTAATATATGCTTGTATTTAAAACCTTATGTATATAATTTATCCCAAATAATCTGAAGATGTCTTAAGTTAAAGATGAAACGTAATTATTAAAAAGACCTTTTATCTTTCTTTATTTTATTATTGTGATGGCTTTTTTAAAAGTCTTATGTTGGGCTATTATGTTCATATTGAAAACTCGCTTTCCGCCTGGCAAATCTCTGGCCACGATTTTGTATTTTATTACTTTACAATGAAGGTTTTGGGGATTTCTTCTTTCTCAAGATTGAGTATATACATATATATGGGCGTTCTGTTTGGTAATGAATGTCAAGTTTTTCTTGGCATTAGGAGATCAATTCCTTCGACAAGACTTATCCAGAGAAGTTTTGAGTGGAGAGTAGCCCGATTGCTCGATAGAGAAAATACGTTATATACAGGTATATAATAAAAAATCACGTTCGTCATCACGTGCAAACTTTGGTCAAACTTTGGTCAAACTTTGGTCAGCGGCTGATCTTGATAAAAAAAGCGCGGGAATTTCTCCAAAGTAATTTCTTTAACACTATGCTAATACATATTCTTTCTACGAAATATATTCTTTTACGAAAGACAATATTTCGTTTATTTACGTTGTTATCGATTTTCCATTTTAAAATTGGCATATAATAGAACACTTATTGACACCTTAGGAAACAATGTGCTTCTTTGACCCTCAATCACATTGTTTCCCTTGTCACTCCTTTTTCCCTCAGCTTTGCCTGGGGAAACAATGGTGGTCTCTGGTAAACACAACACACTGTTTCCTTTGGTCCCAGTCATTAAGTGACAATTGTTTCATAGGGTTCAGTATTGACATGTTTTATTAGTTTGAGGAAACTTGATAGGAATGTTGTGTATTTGTTGTGTGTTTGTTAGCATGTGTAGACAAAACCAGTCAATATGTGTCCTGTTCAATATAACATCACTTACACCACATGAAAGGTTGAATAAGGCATCTATCAAATTTGGTCCTTCTATGTAATTGTTCTGTGTTCAATAACTGTAAAAACAATAGACTTCTTAAAAAATTAATAATATAAATGATCGAAATTTTACATAGCAGGACCAAAACTTGTGGGTTGCCTACCAGTGCAGGACTAACATGTGTGGAGGCCTTGGGCAGTCAGCCTGAAAGTTTGAATATTTTGTGTTTGACTGTGAGGTGCTGTGCCTGGGTCTAGTTCACTGAACGTGCGTACATTGGAGAACATGGTACTTCTTAAGGCTGTAGTTTATACTGATATTTGCAGTTAAGTCAAGGAATGTATTTTTATTAAGCTTTTGTTGTAATGAGCACTTTATTATTGAATCAAACTATAACTCTTTCCTTTTAGTTAATCTGGCCCAGCTGGCTACACTACTGAACATATTGTAACTATGAAAGCACAACTTTCATTTCAGAAATATAAATAAACATGTTCAATGTTGAAGCCAATATATATGTAATCTTCATTGTTAATGGAAGTACCTGTGTATGTCCAAAACGCTCAGTAGGTCCTGCTCCAGTAATAGTAGGGAAATACCACCTCTTCTTATTTATATTGAATAAGCAAACATCAGAATATCTAAGGATGTAAAGTGCAATAAATGATGATATAATCACATAATAAGTGGACAAATGAAACAATTGTTTCAGTTACCTAACAATTAAGATGACAAGTTTATTAGAAATCATAATTGTGGTATGTTATGAAGAACAAACAGAGAGTTTATCAAATAACCAAAAATATAATTTGCAGAAACTGCTGTCTGTTATGACAAATATTTTGATTTTCTCCAGTGATTCTTTCTGAGATTACCACTGTGCCATATTAACAATAATAGTTTATTAGCACATTTCCTTGTCGATAAACCTGACCCAGTGCAGTGAGTTATTCCTGGAAAGAATTCACCTTTTTTACAATACTTGCCATGATTTCTCTTGAAATGTACACATTGATTTGATTGAAATGAAAATAGAGTGATTATCTATTGAAGAACAAAGCTGAATTTTGACTTGCTAAATGAGGGCATTGTGTGTTAGGTATGTCTACACATTAACAATACAATACCTCTCTGCATGGTTCTAGTTACCATTTAAAAATTGTCTTTGTTTGTATGTTTGTACCTCCTTTCAGCTTGTGCACCTCCGAATATCACCATGTTTTCACCCACCATAGAACACGAATGTCCAGCTCGCGCGAAGGGCCTCAATGCACCATCCATTATCGGTAACCATTTTTTTTCTGCAAAGTTCAAAATGTGCAGATCATTGTAGAATCGTCCGTTTGCAGTCATCAGTGACCTGGGTGGCTGACAGCAGCCACCAAATAAAACAACATAACTGCATTCCATGTTGCAGAAACTAACCAAGGTCGCACATTCGCGGGGTAGTGGCGTATAGCCGGAAGTGATAAGCTTTGACCATTTTCGTTCAGATAATGAAAACACATAAAAGTCGTTATATACTGTATCTGAAGACGAACATCCACCAAACACACAAAGTTTATCATTTAAAACACACGAGGCGTGCGAAAAACGTGGGGCAGGATTGATACGAGAAGCATTGGTGTACTTCTTCCAATAAACATTTCCAATTTCGACAGATTTCAAGAATATTTGATCTCTCCTTGCACGGATTTGCAAAAGCAGTCGGTTCCATGTTGTGCACACAAGTCGTGCACTATTTTGATCAAACTTCAACCATAAATAGCTTAGGATTTTCTCCAATATTTCTTCAGGTAATTGCATAAACCAATGAAAGTTTTCATTTAACATAGTTTCAAGGCCATTGAGTGGTCAAGACTAATAAATTATAATTGTTAAGTGTGTAGGTAGCACAGGTTTCATGCCTGCATTCAATTCGACAATACTACTGATCTATATAATATTGGACAAGCAGACAATTTTAAATAAAACAAAATAAAACAGATTGCGAATAAAGACATCTCGTTTTCTTGATATTCAAGATGATACAAGAGTTTTAGACAACAGAGTGTGTAAGATTTCGTCTTTATTCCAAAGACATTATCAGACTAATAATTAACAAAGCAGGCTGTGAAACTTTTATATGTTTAGAAGCGGAAGTGACAGTTACGTAATTGACAGAGCTACAAGGCTCAACATTTAGGGAGTATTTTTAAATTTAAAATAGACATAATTTCTTACAGACTTCGAGACCCCTATTAAGTTGTGGCATATTGTATTTTATCAAAAGCGCTTCTAAGATGAGAAGTTGGTTAGGACTATTATTAATTTATTACAGCGATATAAGATTTTGCTGCTACTTGGAATCAGATTACAACGATTAAATCGCACGCGTGTAAGATAAGGGTCGGAGTCAACGTCAAGTGAGAAAAGGTGTGAGATGTAGTTGGCGTCTGGACAAATGAGTAAATGTTGCGAGATAGCACTAGAATTGTTGTAATTAGAAGCATGTTGGGTTAGTCTTGTGTGTAAGTTTTGTTCAGTTTTGTCTATGCACGTTTGACCACAGCCAGGACATTTAAAATTCATATACAACATTGATTTGGAGAGTTTCGGAATTTTGTCCTTTTTGGGACAGAAAATTGATGTCTTTTTTGTTTCATATATGTAGCTATAGGTTTCATGGGGATTTTTAAGCTACGGCGAATTTTACGAAGAAGATTGAAAACTAATGTTCACCCTGTTTGCCTAGATATGGTATTCTAATAAAAATTTTACGGAGGTCGTTGTCAGTATTTTGTTTAGGGGGCTATTTATGGCTGTAATTTTAGTTTTGAGTAAGTGAATCAAGAATTTCCGGACTTTAAGAGGGAAACCATTCCATGACATAAAAGACTTAAGTGTTTGAATTTGTTTGTTGAATAATGCTTAGTTAGAACAAATCTTAAATGCGCGAAAAAATAAAGAATTGATCCAAGTAGTTTTGCGGTTGAAAGGTTCGAAAGAAATTATGTCTATTTTAAATTGAAAAATACTCCCTAATTAATAAGTCTTGTAGCTCTCTCAATTACGTAACTGTCACTTCCGCTTCGTAACATATAAAAGTTTCACAGCCTGCTTTGTAAACTATTAGTCTGATGATGTCTTTGGAATAAAGACGAAGTATTACACAATCTAAGACCTCTTGTATCATCTTGAATATCAAGACAACATCTGTTTTATTTTGTTTTATATAATATTGAAATGTAATGAACTGGAATGATCAGGGGAGAAAGGGGGAGGGTACGGAGGGGGATTTGATGCCGTGTTTTGTTGACAGTGCCAGTCTTTTGTAACTATATTTGCCATTTTTCAAAAAATTAATTTTTCATATCGCTAAATTTTCGCGTATTCATGTGTTTTTCACACAAACAATAATTAGCTTTGACTAAAATTTTGCAAAAAAAAACCGCGCCAAAATATTGCTTTTTCTGAGTTATTGAATATAGTCATTGAGGCTGAAGATATATCATTCTATTTAAACGACCAAAATCTTTCAACACAAAATTTCAACGTTTCCAGAAATTTGAAGAATTACATAGCTATAGAGAAATGTGTTCTATGGTTCTAACACAATGGTTCTGACGCAATGGTCCTATTACAAACATTGTGATGAACAGTTGTTTTTATTTTGTTTTGTTGTGACGTAGCGCGTGCATTTCACGTGATTGACACTTTGGGATTATCACAGAAGGGGGGAGTTGTTGTTAAAAAATAAAAGATTCGAGATGTTGTTGTTGTTGAATTATGTGTTGTTTTGCTTCTTGCGACGACTTCGTTAAAATAAATATGTTCCCTTTTTTTGCTTGCGTTAAAATTAAAGGAAACGATTTATCATGCAAAGTGCATGACATGGCGCCCAACGTGGGGCGGCTTTAACGAAATAAAGTCGCCCATATTCGTTTCTTACGAAAATGTCGACTGAAGACAAGGAAAAATTGGAAAGGCTTCGTGCTAGAAGAAGAGGACATCGCGGAGTGTGTACAAAACTCGAGAAAGAGTCAGTTGAATTGTTATCACAGCCACCACATGATGACCTTGTAGAACGTAGCGAAATCATCGCACAACAACTCGAAAGGAAACTAAAAATATTAAGTGAACTCGACGAAGAAATATTGAACACGTGTGATGTTAATGAAATACAAGGTGAAATCGAGGACTCGGCAGAAATTTCTGATAGAGTTATGAGTATAAAACGAAAAATCGAAAGGTATATTAAATGCGCTAAGAATGACAGTCTCGTTGATACGAATGTCAACGATACCATATCTAACTCGAATTTGACGAACATGTCAAACCCTGGCCAAAACGAAAGTATCGAGAATTCTAACGAAAATTTGGCAAATGCGACGGAAAACTATGGTTTAATCGAAGGTTCAAGTAATCAAGCGACGATCGAACTTGTAAACGAAGGAAATGTAACGAGTGACAACACTACGACGACGGTTCAATTTAAGTCAAATATGCCGAAGCTTCCTAAGCTGGAGCTTCCGAAATATGGTGGCAAGGTTACGGAGTGGAGTTCGTTTTGGGATCTGTATGATTCTGCGATTCACAGTAATCCAAACATTTCGAAGGTAAACAAATTCAACTATCTGAAATCGCTTCTCGAGGGAAACGCAGCGAGGGCCATTAAAGGTCTAACATTAACTAATGCCAATTACGACTCTGCTGTAAAATCTTGAACGATCGCTTCGGGAAACCCAGCAAACCATAGCAGCTCACATGGATGAAATTTTAAAGATTCAAGCTTGTGCCAACGGTAGAACTAGCCAAGTAAGATACATATACGATAAAGTAAGCGTTCATGTACGAGGATTATCGAGTCTTGGCGTTTCTTCTGAACAATATGGTAGTATGCTTATCCCGATTATCATGACTAAATTACCTAGTGACATTCGTCTACAAATTGCCCGAAAATCGTCGGGAGACGTTTGGAAAATTGATGAGTTGTTGGATACAATCAAGACTGAGATCGAGGCACGGGAGATAAGTGAAGGAGTGCAATCAAGTCCACAGCCACAGCATGGAAAAATTCTGGAGGTCAGCACCAAACACCCAGAATACCTACGGTGAACGCCTTTTCGACTCAAAATACTTCAGGTAAACATATTCAATGTGTTTATTGTAAAGAGCCACACTTTTCGGCATCGTGTGATAGAGTAACTGATGTGAATGATCGCAAGAGTATATTGAGGAGAGACAATCGTTGTTTTGTATGCCTGCGAATCGGGCATCTCAGTAAAAATTGCGAGTCAAAGAAGAATTGTAGACGTTGTCATGGGGCTCATCATCAATCGATTTGTGAAGTGATTAAGCCAAGTTTTACGCCTCCTCAACAAAAGAATGCAAATGATCCCAAACTTTCCCCCACTGGAAACAACCTACCAGAAACCAAGGAAGGAAACAACGTTCGCACAGCTACTATGATTGATGGAGATAATTACTTAACGACGAATACGGCAAAAACGCGTAATCAAGTTCTTCTGCAAACAGCTATTACATACGCCAATGGTGGGAATGGTTCCATTCCTATACCTGTTCGCGTGCTTTTGGACAGCGGTAGTCAGCGCACTTATGTCACAAATTCATTAAAAACCCGGCTTGGACTAGTTCCCATCAGAAAAGAAGTTGTTAATTTAAATACCTTTGGCAACCAACATTTCACAAAGCAAAAATGCGACTTGGTTCATTTGTCCCTGAAAGGAAAGAATGGAAATCGAATCATAACAGCTCTTTGCTTCCCAAATATTTGCTCTCCGTTAACAACGACAATTGATCTCAATCATTATCCTCATCTGATGGAGTTGCAGCTTTCCGATACCAATATCCTCTCTGGACGACAGACGGACAGCAACATCGACATTCTAATTGGAGCAGATTATTATTTTGATATCATGACAGGCGAGATTATAAGAGGTGAAGGTGGTCCTGTTGCGATTAATAGTGAATTTGGCTGGATTATCACTGGACAGATGAATGATGGTGAAACTAATTCGAAATTGTCAAACGTTAATTTAATCATCGAAGATTACTCTTTTTCAAAGGAATTTCCGCTTGACAAGAGAGAACCCAAATTACATGAATGCTTGAAACGGTTTTGGGAGATCGAATCAATGGGAATCAAAGAATCCAACGAATCACAGGATCAGGAGTTTCTGAAGAATATACAATATCTGGAGGATGAAGGGAGATATGAAGTGAACTTACCTTGGAAAAGGGAATATATTCCAAAATCAGACTGTTACGGTATGTGTTTGAAACGATTACAACAGTTGAAATCTCGTCTCGATAAAGATAAACCCTTATTGCAAGAATACGATACAATTATCAAAGATCAAGTGAAAAGAGGAATTATTGACCCAGTTCTTGTTGCACATGAAACCGGTTATTTCCTACCCCATCATGGCGTACTTCGAGAAGATAAGGAAACTACAAAACTTCGCGTGGTTTTCGATGGTTCGGCAAGAGCTACTAAGGAAGAGCAGTCACTCAATGATTGCCTTGAAAAGGGACCAAATTTGGTTCCACTTTTATTTGACACTATGATAAACTTTCGAGGCTTCCCCATTGGGCTTGCTGTTGATATCGAAAAGGCTTTTCATCAAATACAAATTGCTCCCGAAGACAGAAAGATGCTGAAGTTTCTTTGGTTTGACGATATTAACCAAGTTCAACCGATGCTAAAGGAATACAAGTTCCGACGCCTACCATTTGGTCTAACCCCAAGTCCTGCAATATTATCTACTGTTATTCGTCACCACGTTTCGAAATACAGGGATGTCGATCCAGAAATAGTCTCCTTATTAATCGAGTCGTTATATGTTGACGATTTCGCTGGAGGAGCTTCTAATGAGGACGAAGCTCTATACATCTATCATAGATCTCGAAAATTAATGAGCGAGGGAGGATTCAAGCTTCGAAAATGGCATTCAAACTCGCAACATGTCCGAAATGTTATCGCGAATGATGAAGATCGACCGTTTGTTGAGGTGGAAAATGAAAAGGGGTCATCATATGTTAAACATATATCAAGTACGATGGTGGAAGACAATTTAGTAAAAACTCCTTCGCCTCATACAGAGCCACAACCTAAGTCCACATCGCAAGAGAACCGTATCAAAATTCTAGGAATCAGCTGGGATGAGAACAGTGACGAGCTGTGTTATGATCTTGACGAGCTAGTGCATTATGCAAAATCACTTCCTGCAACTAAGAGGTCAGTTTTAAAGCTATCTGCGAAAATATTCGATCCTATTGGCCTTTTTGCACCCTTTACTATCAATATGAAGATGTTGTTTCAAACCCTCTGCTCTTCTGACAGTAATTGGGATGAAGATCTGTCTGGCAAGGCCTTATCACGTTGGAATTCTCTCGTTCACGACTTAAGGGCTTTAAGTGACATACGAGTACCGCGTTGTTACTTCCATGGTGGATACGATTCATCTCCGATTCATCAGATACATGGATTTTGCGATGCATCGGAATTTGCCTTTGCCGCAGTTGTATATCTACGAACGGAACATAAAAACGGTGAAATTGAAGTGAATTTAATAGCAGCCAAGACAAGAGTCGCTCCTATCAAACGACAGACCATACCACGACTTGAATTGTTAGGCGCAACTACCTTAGCAAGATTAGTCGATTCGATTGTGAAAGCGTTGACTTCAATAAAATGTATCACTGATATTATCTTATGGACGGATTCATTTACCACATTGTGTTGGATTCGAAATCATAAACTGTGGAAGTCTTATGTACAGAACCGCGTAAACGAAATCAGAAAGTTAACTAGTAGTTATAAATGGAGACATTGCCCTGGGGTAATAAACTCAGCCGACTTGCCTTCTCGTGGGTGTTCCGGAAGTGAACTTGTGCAATCTGGAATCTGGTGGAATGGTCCGCAGTTTCTCCAAGATACTGAAGAAAATTGGCCCGAAGATCTTCAACCTGCAAAATTGGATGAGGACCATTGCTACACAGAGATAATACAAAATCCTCTTCCAATAACACATTCCTTGACGTTAACATCGCTTCCTGACCGTAATTGCATCCACTTGGAGAAGATTATTGACCAAGATAGATATGGTACGAAGAACAAACTACTTCGTGTCACAGCACAAATTTTAAGGTTTATCAAGAAATCAAGAAAGCAACTATGCTCTGTTACGTCTGAGTTGAATGCTAATGAGCTACTCGAAGCTGAGAGATTATGGATCCGAAATATTCAGTCAGCCGCGTTTTCTGACGAGTTACAATGTATTCGAACCGGTCGTAAAAATGTACGAGTTCAACAACTTGGTTTGTTTCTCGATGATGATCAGATTATTCGGTGTGAAGGTCGAATTGCCCACTCTACGTTACCTGATAGTGCAAAACAGCCCATTTTGTTGCCCCCTAAGCATACCTTTTCGAAATTAATTATACGCGACTGTCACAATATAGTACACCACGAAGGAATTAGAGAAACTCTGAATTGCGTTCGAGGAAAATACTGGATCTTGCGTGGTCGAGAGTGCGTCAAGGGTGTTGTGCGTGGATGTATCAAATGCAAGAAATTCGAAGGTAAAGCTTTCCCAACAGCGAAGGAAGCATGTTTGCCATCAAGTCGAGTAAGCGAAGAGCCTCCCTTTTCAAACACCGGTATTGACTTTGCAGGCCCCTTATACGCTACTAACAATCAAGGAATGGATAAGGTATATATCTGTTTGTTCACTTGTGCTTCCACTCGAGCGGTTCATCTTGAACTTGTTTGTTATTTGTCTGTGCTATCGTTTCTGCAAGCTTTCCGAAGGTTTGTCTCACGAAGAGGTTTGCCGTCTAGACTAATATCAGACAATGCCAAGACCTTCAAAAGTGCCTCAAGGGAAGTTGCTAATATACTGAGATCAACTGACATACAACGCGAACTGGCTTCCAAGGGTGTCAATTGGGAATTTATCATTGAAAAGGCACCTTGGCAAGGAGGATTCTACGAACGAATGATACAAAGTACAAAGAGATGTTTAAAGAAAACTCTCGGTCGATCCTCAATGGATTTTGAAGCGCTTAGAACCATTTTGGTAGAAATTGAGGCTACCATTAACAATCGTCCACTTACATATATCTATGATGACCAAGAAGGAATTTCTTACCCTCTGACTCCATCTCAATTAATTTACGGACGGCAAATTACTCTTACGGCTAGTGATCGACAATTTGAAATCATCAGTACGAATCGAACTCTAACCAGAAAGGCGAAATATCAGAAACGTTTGTTAGATCAATTTATTAATCGTTGGAGAACGGAATATCTTTTAAGCGTCAGAGAGACTTCACGCTTACTTCATGGAGCACAGAAGGAGAAGATAGCTGTCGGTGATGTTGTTGTGTTAAAAAATGATCTTTCCCCTCGAATTTTGTGGAAATTGGCAAGAGTTACCGAGCTCATAGTAAGTAAGGATGGTGTTGTTCGAGCAGCAAAGGTCTGTGTTGCGAGTACTACAAAGGGTCGATCGTCAGAACTACGTCGTCCAATACAACAACTGATACCACTTGAGTTGAATATGCCTCCAGCAAATATTGTGGTTCCCAAAACTACTAGTGGAATTGAGTCTAAAGACGAAAACTCTATGAAAACCCGACAACGAAGAACGGCAGCCGTGATTGGAGACCTATTGCGACAGTCAAATAGTAAAAACTCGTGGAAATAAATTGATCAATATGATCAACGTCGGGAGTGTGATGAACAGTTGTTTTTATTTTGTTTTGTTGTGACGTAGCGCGTGCATTTCACGTGATTGACACTTTGGGATTATCACAGAAGGGGGGAGTTGTTGTTAAAAAATAAAAGATTCGAGATGTTGTTGTTGTTGAATTATGTAGTGTTTTTCTTTTGACGACTTCGTTGTAAAAAATAACGATTTTATCATGCAACGTGCATGACAAACATTGTAAGTATATTCACAGCTCAGTATCATGATAAAAGCTCCTTGCCATTTCCACAAACAGTAAAGTGCTGCTAATTTATCATCGATGAAAGGTAAAATAGTGAAGATTTTCTCTCTAAGCAGTCCAATACCCTCACTACATCAGTATTACCAATTCTTCGATTTTATTATTGACAAATAGAGCCGTAGCTGCTCAAGATGCGGTGTTTTTCACTGTAAAAAGCTCGTTTTTTACAGCTAAAACAACGTTTTACTACGCAACAATGACTACGAACTTCCTTGTGCCATTCCCTTACACGGTCAACCTTTGTACTCGTAGTCGTAGTCGTTCTCTTGCTAAAGCTCGCTTTTCAGTAAACGAGGTGGTCTAACAATCAGATCGGTTATAAATTTATTAAATTCTAGTTCATTCATTAATATTAATTAATTCGATTTACGTTAAAAACAGGATGAACCCATTTATTGAGCGCGAGTCAATTACTCCTACGCAAGTCAAAAATGACATAATATAAACACTCACATATCACAAAGGCGTAGTTCATAACGTTGCATGAAGCATTGATGTTGTAAGTTCTTTACAGTTTTAAAACAAAAAATGTGCTAAGTTGAGACTATTTTCATTTCTTTTAAATTAACCAAGAAAAAAATGTCTTCGAATAAACTACGTCTAAAAAGTAAGAATTTAAATCACAGCTGAAAATGAAAACTGAAACAATATCAATTTTTTTGAAATTATCCTTTTTGTGTTTGAAATTACCACGAATTAAGACTTTTTGAGCTAAGGCAGCTAGGTGGTTTACTCGTTTCGAACGCAAATGATATGAGATTTTCTTTTAAAATAAATTTTAGTTTGAAAGTATCCCATTAAAAAAGAATAAAGAAGAAATATTCAATACTCGTACTATTTTTATTTATTATTTTTTGTTTGAGTGTCGTTTTTTCAACGAGACATTTCACACCTTTAGCAATGTTTATGTGAACTGTGTTATCTTAGAATATGAAAAGTATAATGACACAATGAGATAACGTTTGACGCCTAACAATATTGTGTGGAAAAATAGAACGTGCATTACGGTTTTGTTTCGTGATCGTGTACAATTGGCCACTGTTTATGTAGTTGATTTGGACGTTTTCTCCTGTTCTTTTTTTTGGCTTTTTATAATTTTATGAAATTTTTTGAATTTTCAGAAAAATCTAACAAAACAAATTTTTGTTTACACTTTTATTTTTTTATACTGATGATGTTATGTTTTGCATTTTTATAAAATGAACTTTAATGTTTTCGTCTGTTTGTACTGAACCTGGGATTGTGAGTGATAATTAGGTCAATTGCTAGGTTGATGGTTTCAGTAAGTGGTATGTGGGTAAAAAGAATCTTTAGTGGAGTGGTCATCTGGTATGAGTGGTGTTAGTAGAGAACTAAGATACTTAGCTAAATTATAATTGTACGAGTTAATTGATGAAACTATCGGTCGTAGTGGAGGCGATTGTTCTGGTTCTCGTTTCTTGTGAAGTTTCGGTAATCCATAGAAGCGTGAGGGTTGAGAACCTCTGGGGAAGATATCGTTATAAACTTTGTTGTTAATCGAGTCTTTCTTTAGAAGCTTCCTTAACAGTCGTTGCAGTTTGCCTTCACGTGATAGTGTGACGTCTTCTTTGAGTGGGGTAAACTTTGCTGTACTGTTAATTATTTTAAGGGAGGAGTTACGATACATTTGACGATCCGTGATTACAACGCCGTTGCCTTTGTCCGGTTTGAGAATCATAATGTTTGGATTGTTGCGAATGTTTTTAATTATGTGATGTTTTTTGAGGTCAGCTGGTGTCGGGTGATAAGATGAGATGAACGAGTGAGCGATGTGTGCCAGCTCTGTTTTGAGATGCGTTTAGTCTTCTTGATTGCGAATGTTGTGTTTTATAGTTTGCTGGATTTTTTCGAATGTTGCCAGAATGTCGGTTGAGTTGAGTTGTAGTGGTTTAATGCTGAACCCAAGGCCATTTTTCAGGAGTTCTAGTTCTTCGTCTTTTGATTTGTGTAATGATAGATTGGTTAGCGTCTCCTTGTGTGTGAATGGTAGAGTTCTGTTCCTCGTGAGATTACTTAGTTTTTTCCGATGTGTGGTAATTGTCTTTTGTAGGTATTTAGTTATGTTTTTTTTCCAGAGCTTTGTTTAGAATAGTCCAGTCGAGAGAGGATAAATTGTTCCCCAGAGGTTCTCAACCCTCACGCTTCTATGGATTACCGAATCTTCACAAGAAACGAGAACCAGAACAATCGCCTCCACTACGACCGATAGTTTCATCAATTAACTCGTACAATTATAATTTAGCTAAGTATCTTAGTTCTCTACTAACACCACTCATACCAGATGACCACTCCACTAAAGATTCTTTTTACCCACATACCACTTACTGAAACCATCAACCTAGCAATTGACCTAATTATCACTCACAATCCCAGGTTCAGTATAAACAGGACAGACCTCACACAACTGTTTTCAATAGCAACAGCACAGACGCATTTTTTATTTAATGGAAAATTTTATGACCAGACGGACGGTGTTACGATGGGCTCTCCCTTAGCACCCATACTTGCTAACATTTTCATGGGCTCACATGAAGGAAACTGGCTAAACAACTACAACGACCAACACAAATGAAAATTCGAAAATAACAACTCTATACTTCAAATTACTATACATCGGACATTACTCACGACACACACAAACGCAGACTTAAAAACATTAGGTATTGACATTCGACTAATTTTCACATCATTCAAAATCAAAAACCTTTTCTCATTCAAAGACCCAATCCCTGATTCAATTAAATCTATGGTGGTATATGAATTCAATTGCGCGGGATGTAATTTTCGATACATTGGCGAAACTTCGCGCCATTTATCCATGAGAGGGACATACCACATTATCCATCCATCAGGGAACATACCACAACAGACAAAAACTCTCATATCTACCGACACCTTCTTAAATCTCACTCATGTAAAACCAACTATTCACCCTCTTGCTTCAAAATCATTGACACTGCCGACACCTCATTCTCCCTTAAAATCAAAGAAGCACTTCACTTTAACAAAACTAACCCTGACCTCTATGTTCAAGTTTTTAAATTCAATACAGTATTTAGTTTATAATACGCTCGGACGCTCCCCATTAATTTATCTTATTTCCTTTATATTTTTATAATTTATGTATCATATTACTTTTATATAAACCTTATACCACTTATTATTTTACTGATACTGAAGATGGCATCATGAGATGTCAAATGACATGTCTATTTTAAAAAAACTTGTCGTGTATATTAAATGCGCATTTACAGTTCTATTGTAAATAACATTTTTCACCAAAATTTCACAAGTTGGCTTAAGGAACAAGAAAGACATTTCTTATGACTAGTTTGATGAACCAAGTCATTCATCACTTAACTGACTGAGGAGTTGTCAGCAAAAGAACTCATGCAACCCTCCTTAAAAAGCTAAATAGAACAGTAATAGAACAAAATCTGCACCCTTGAAATAGAAGGGATCTTCACAACAGATATTATGAAAATAAACAACACGTCACGTCATTTACATAGGATCACAGCCTTCACAGGACACTTACACAAAATTTAACCAAGGACAACGTGCAATTATTTAAATAAATGGTGCAAGTGAAACAATCTGTCACCTCAATCATTATGTTTGTTTTTCTTTCCCCACTGTTTTCTCGGTGTTGTTGTTACAGTTGCCACGTTCTCCAAACTCTTGTTGTTTTTAACCAGTTTTCGAAGTTTCTCCTTTTCTTTAGAGTTCTTTCTTGTATGGTGAGTTTTTTTGAATGTACCAACTTTGGCAACGCTCTCAGGTTGTATCGACCTTCTCTTCGTTCAATGGTTCTAACTTTAATGTCTCGTACATTAGGCACGTACATTGATTTGTCTGCCATACTGTTGCTATTTGGCGAACATCGATGCTCGTTACCATGTTCTCAGGGATAAGTGCGGTCGTGGTTATATTTGTGGTAATTGTCTAAAATTGTGACGAAATAAAAACTCAAATCCTCCATGTTTTTTACAACATCCGATATCTAAAGCCACGCTTGAGATAGCCGCTCCAGTTATTATAGAACTCAATAGTCGCTACCAGTTCAAATGAGGAGTTTGTCGGACATACAGCGAAGTGAAACTGACGGGAAACCGAGAATATTTGAACGAAAGGAATGACGTCATGTCATTTTGGTAGTTGGAAACAAGTGACGACCGTTGCACCACTGATGCACTTTTCGCTCCAACGTGACGTGAAAACATTGAACTCTCTGGATTTATTCACCGCTGTGCTATCTTTGGCCTTTAATTACATTTTTGTTAAATTAGTCGGAGCAATCGTCATATTTTGCTAAATATTGTCGGATAAAGGCGCCATTTTACAGAGTCTGTTTTCATTTCTGTATTATTTCGTTTAAATTTTAGAATCATACATAAATATCGGTTTTCTTAACGTAAAAGTATCAAAATTAATTCACTAGAAATGCACAGGGCTAACTGTATACATTTTTGTCGATTTATTTCAATTTTGACCGTTTCTTGGAATAACAAAGATTGCGCAATATCTGAAAATCTGACTGATGCACTAGCATCAGTGGCATCACTCTGGATCCGCTCCTGGCTAACATTGAACAAAAATATTAAATTTAAAGAGAAAGAATGCGAGAAAGGATTATATAAATTAAAAACGGCAGATTATAAACTCACTATTTAGATATCACAAAATCCTATGGTTGTTAATGTCATAGGTGCACTACAGTTTAAAAATGTGTGAAATCGCAAACAATTTATATTTTTTACTTGATAAGGACAAAAATTGTCTTGGAATAAACTACGCGTGTAAAAAAATGGACTTATATCACAGCTTACCGTTGCTAACGGATAAAGAATGAAGGAATATATTTATAAGCTGCCTTTTAAATTTGACACTCTATACAAATTTTACATAATTTATGATTACTGAGGATAAAGTAGGACTTTCATGGGAGAGAAAACACTTGAATGGGAGCAAACGTATGTGAGGGTTCTCTCGCGAATCCTTTGAATACAAATATTATAGATTTTCATTGAAACAAATTTAGTTCGAAGGTATGTTTAAAATTCTTTCTCATTTGTGAGTTTATCCCGTCATTTCTAATGAAACTTCCAGAAAAAATTGTCTCAATTTTCTACGCGGTTTTCCTTTATAAATTTTTCTTTTTTTTGTTGATGCCATGAGGCTAAAGAAATCAAGATTTAAAGGTCAATTTACTAACTTTTTTTCAGGGGAGGTTATATATTTGTTTTATGCTAGATTCGTGAATTGAGTCAATACGACGGATAAGTAAGTGTCATGACCGGGACACTCATATCTTAAAAACCATAGCAGCAAAGACTTTTTATTTTTTCCAATTTTTCTCTTTTTTGCTGGTAGTCATTCTTGCTTTTTTAGAATATAAAAATTTCATGTATCTGGCTCTCTGCTGCATGTTGTATTTAAGAGTTTTAAATTCCAACAACATATACATGGAAGTTAGCTACTAGTCTGGAGAATTGGCTAGTGCAAGAAATTTGCAACTTTTACAGAAAGATGAAGTGATTTATCTCATAAAATATGTCTTTACTTTCTGTACAAAATTAAAGTTTGGCCAATGCTAAAATAACCAGGCAGAAAGAATAGTTATTTTGCTCAATTATCTTAGAGTAGCATCCTTTTCGTTAATATACCATCGCGATATCAAGAGATTACGTGTTAGAAAATGTTTTTTATGCAAGTACGCCCAACTGAAATATGCATGTGGATTAAGACTGATATCACAATTATCGTTATTCGACGTTTAACAGGTTTCTTGAATGTGCTGATAAACTATCTATATTCCGAAGGTTAACATATTTAAATAATATTTATTGTTTATTTGTTATTTTTTTCTTTTTGACATCTTTGAAATCTCTCTAAACAAAATCGCCAATGTCTTCTACCTGCACCAGCGTAGTCAGCCCGCTTATTTAGTCTTCATACATTCATTCTTATGTGTTCTATCACCCTAAAAAAAGAATTCTAAAGAAACGAATTATAATATTTGAGGTCTTTCAAAATTTACAGAGTAAGACCAAAACCTGTTGGCTAGCTACGCCTTTTTTTTTACTTTTCTTCTGAAGTTTCATTGACTTATGCTTATCATTTGATAAAAATCGTCGTCTTGTTTACATTTTCATGCTGCTATGTTTTTGGAGTCAGAAAATTCACCGAGTCAGGTGTACTTCACATACTGGCATTCGTAAATGATAGTAAATAATGCCTGTATTCAATATTGAATATCTTCTCTAAATTTATTTCATAAGAAAAGCAAATTCAGAGATTTCAATAAAAAACCACTACCGACAATTCATGCTTTTTAGGATTTGTGACTTAAGAAAGGGGATGACCAGCCACCCTGTCTACCCTTACTTAATTCGCCCCACATTAGTTTTGTTACCACCTGTTCTTTATTAGACGCGTGAATATTAACATTTTTGCCAGCGAAAGATGTCATCACCAAAGTGTAATAGTATTTAGATAATATTTGACTAAATTTTCATCTCTATATAAATGGTAATATTTAAGATCACCTAGGATCTCGGTTTCGAAAAGTTTCCCATTTTTTAATATAAAAGTTTGTAAGCGGGCAAATTTCCTTTGAGGAATCCTTTTTCCTAATACACCGGCAATGTTCTCAACTAGCCTGTATCTCGTACAAAGGTAAATCTTGGCCTAAATATGTTCTCAAAAACCTTTCGGGATCGTTTCACCATCATCACCTGTTTTAATATCACAATAAGTACAATCCTTTCACTTAACGTTCAACGCAGTCCTATACCACTTAACCTCTTACTTTCATTTTATTTTGCTTCCTAACTTCACAAATTATCTTCTAATCCATTTGACACCGCCTTCTTTCGTATTCTAAAACCTTTTGTAAATACGTTTTTGTCTCAACATCCTATTATTTATTGCTGTCTGAAGATGTCTCGAGTAAAGACGAAACTTCACAATAAATTGCATTTTATAACTTTCATTGACTTTTAACTTATTTTCATGGCTCTTCTTAATGCTTTATGCCATGCAATTATTTTCAGTATCCGAATTCGATTTCAGCTTGGCACGTCTCTCGCTACTGTGTTTAAACAATTTATGTGCATACTTTTATGGGCAGCCGCTGCACATGCGTGGCAAATCACTATGTCACTGAAAATGTGTCTGTAAAAAACGGAACAGTTTTGGTCCCGGAAGTAAGCAGAGCTCTTACTGGTGTCTATTAGTTTCCAGTCCGTGAAAGGAACCGAGGCGTGCATGTGTCAACTGAAAACAGGGATCAGTAAAAGAGAGTAATGGACCTGAGTTAATTGAAAGACATTACTGACATGACGAAACGGTGAAAAAGATAATAAACTAATCGGTGAAATTTTTGGAAAATCTTGAGAACTTTACTTATCACGATGTAGACACCCATACGTGAAATGCAGGAGGGTTTTTGCAGATATAGAAAGGGCTAGTATATAAAGGCTATCCGCACGTATTCCACCATACTATTGTCATAGCGGTTGAAAATAATCTAATTTCGGTCTTTTAAATACTCCTGCTTTGTACATGACTCGAAACCGAGATGGCGAAAAAGTCATAGCGGCATTAGGCACTTAATTTGTGCTATTTACAAAAATCGCGACAATAAAGTCGCGCAGAATATTGCCTCGACAAAATCGCGCGAAATTAAGACATCTTCGAATTTCGACGAATGCAATCAATGCAATCAGTGCATAAGACACTAAACACAAAGCTCGAAGTTTACATTTCAGCAAGGAAGGTAATGCAGCTATGTCAATATTGCCGTCCTTCGGCTTGAAAGAAAGAAAGCGTGAATTGGAACCAAATAACGAATGGGTATGTTCAAAATAATTTGTAAATTTAGTAAACAAATATGGACGATATGATTGAAAATTTGAAATCCATCGCTTGTAGCAATGCTTGTGTTTCGATTGTTCACATCGAAATGTTTTATTTGTATTTCATTTAGTTCTGTAATGTAGAATTTTCTTTGCCTTAGTTAGCGCTATTTCAGTGGCTGATAATGCAACCTTTGCGTAGATAATTTTGAACATCAAGCTAAACTGTTCAATAATTGTTTATAGTTTGCACGTCAATTTAAGTAAAGTATATTCTAAATGGGATATCGATAGTATTTCCTCTTTAGAAAAGTAGATGATGCGTGTTTTAGAGGGAGGCATTACACTTGAACAAACTTTGAAGTTTGCTTGTTAGGCTGATAACAACAGGGCAAATTTAAAAATACTTTTGCTTGCATCTAGAATCAATTTAATACAAAGATATCAGGAAAACACCATATTTCAATGATGAAGTTAATTGAAAATCCGACAATGAACATCTGCAATTATTCTTATAAAACATCGTTTTAGGGATGACATTTAATACCAGTGTTGAGAGTCATATTTAAGAGAGATTAATTTATTATCATTTCTATGTAAATTAACAGGCAACTATTGGAAGTAGGCATTTACAGGAGGCTAGGCCTATATTAAAGGAAAACAGTATATTTTTTTTAAAATGGATCACTGCATAAGGTCTACATAGCATTGACCTTAACTGTTGAGATTTTTGGACTTCTCAGTAACACTTTATACATTTGTAGTGTATACATTTTGCAATAGGACATGCATGTTTGCAGTGTGTTGTAAAGACATACCTAAAATTTTGCCTAAACCACATCACATTAATCATAATAAACCAAATGTTTTAAGTTTATAGTTAATTCAAATTAACATAATAATTTATATGATCACTATGATGCATGTGATTATGTAAAACTGCCTTTTTAGGTATAGAGAAGATCTTGAGTAAAAATTTTGAGGTTAATGCACATGTTTAAGGATTGTGATGGTTAGGATCAGGGTCTATTGTTTCTGAAATTCAGCCAAATCAGCAAAATGCTTTTTTCCTTGTCTGCTGGGTAGCTTTGAATGTATGGCTTACAGATCTCTAGACATAAATGGTTGTGCTACCTAGGCTGTTGCGGTATTACAAAAAAACAATATCGATATATTGAAAAAAATAACGATATTTATCGATATTTTTCCGTTTTTTTAATTATCGAATAATATGATTCCGTCAATAAACGAACACGAAACACGGCTGTCTGAGATACCTCGGACTCTTCGCTGCGAACTAGCGAGAACAAACGTTGCGGAATTTTCTACATACGATGACAAACCATGAAATGCTTTGTCTTCTGATTCACCAAATTTGAAGTATTTCCTCCCTTGCTTTTGACAGATTTCCCGCAGTTACGACATACGGGATTGTCGACTTTTTCGACGTGCTCCCAAACTACGCTTGGCATGATTTGTTATTAGTAAGACTTTTTTTGACATGCACGAGAACTGTTGCTATGTCTATCAATTTTTCAATTAAATCTGGTTTATTTTTTTTTTTTCGAGAAGAATATTAATTTAATGATAAAAATTGTACAACTTTTATAACTACAGCATACAAATATAAAAATGTTAACTAAAATCAATGTTTAAAATATCCATGATAATTTTCAAATTTACTAGCTTGAAAAAGAAAAAGAAAGAAAAAAAAAAGGGACAGTCAGGTGTAAAGACAACTTTCCCAATAACCTAAGTCAATATTTAAAGTGTGTTCGCGAGTTGAGGCAAATCGACTTCCTCGTATCGCAGTAATTGCTGACCTAATCAGTGCGAAAGACAGTTTACAACGCATCCACGCTAGCGTGATGCCATGTTGCATCTCTATCTTTTGTGCCAGCAGATCAGCTAGCCGTTTATAAGCAATTGCCGTCTCAATCTGGTTTAGTGTTGCTAGCCATGACTCAGCTAGATCAAATTGTAACTTAGTCAACAATTGCCACGCGATGGTTATGACTCATAGATCAAATTGTTGAAACTTAACCAACAATTGCTTCACACGTGTGATTGGGTCTTTGGATTAATAATAGTATACAAAATCATTTAAAAACCGCTATAAAGCCATTAAAAAACCATAAAAACCGGTATTTTTTTGATATTTTCGTTATATCGATATTTCGGTGTACTGAAAAACTAATATCGATAAACCGATATTAAAAAACCGATATTTATCGATATTTCGATATACCGCAACAGCCTAGTGCTACCGACATCTTAATTCATATCCTTTGCACCATTCAGTCAACCAATAAAATCCCTTTCTATTGATGAGTCTTGCCATGATGTTATGATACTTCTTTGTATGAAATGACTTTGCATTTTATTGTTAAAGAGTGAATACATGAAAGCAAAAATATGTAAGCTGGACCAACAGTATGATGTTTGTGAAAGCAGGAATGATGTCAACGAGTAAGTTCAATAGTAATACAAGGGCCATGGTTGTGCTCGATCAGGTATTATCCAAAATATTGAAAATAATTTGCATTAGCTTATCATTTAACTGGTAAGATTTCATCGAGATATAACCAATAGCATGTGTTTTGAACATTAAAAGTTAGTGGCCCAAGCCAAGATCTACTTCTGAGCGATGCCAAAATTTCATCTACCAAATTAAATGTTGCAGTTATAGCAATTTTTTGCTGCAAAATGTTGCAGTAAGCAAGTGGTTTGTATATTTTTTGTTCTCGTCAAAACAAAAATTGTTAATGCTGCATTGAAAAGAAAGAGGTGAATAGTGATGAAAAATAATTAAACACTATACTTGTAGGCATTGAAATGTCCACAAAGATTTGACACAATTACAATATTTGTAGAAGTTGAACACTGTATTAATGTGCAGTAAACATATCAGCACATGTTTGTGTACATTGGATTTTCTTTGTTTTTCTTTGTTTTGACAAAATAATAGTCTCTGCTTTCTATTTATTAAATAAATATTTTGATTCTTTGAAACATATTGAAGAAAAAGAAATGCAAAGCACAGGCTTGTTGAAATACGTAGGAGAAATTGTGAGTTTATCTCCCAAAACTTTCACAAGTGTTTCAATAACTCAACAGGAACAACTAAATATGTTTCCATTTCACTTCATAAAATACAAAAAAAATTATATTGAAATACAAATTTATTTATTTCAATAACATGCTGTTTATATTTTTGCCTGAAAAATTTTCCGTGCAAACCACGCATCCTGCGAGTCTTTTGTGTTCTTTTGCGAGACTGAAGTTGTCATGTTTCTTTATATATATGATTGCTATAGATTGTTATAAATTGTTTTCATAAATCACTGAAAACGAACAAGACAAAGACAAAATCAATGCGACCAGTTCAAGCTGTGCTTTCTATTTTAGCTGGCGCATCATGGCTACTTTGTTTGAATGAAAGGTTTAAAGACACGATGGCACACAAATTAAAATGACATTTTCTCTCCGTCGTTTGAATCCAATGAGATTGCGTATTTGTGAAAAAATTTACAGAGCTCTGTTTTGATATATAAGACAAAAGCGAAGCGTGACTGTTTTATGCTGAAGCGTGACTGTTTTATGCGTGTGTATCACTGAACGGCAATGTTTGTAATGGTGAATGTGATAAGATCTAATCATATTGCAAACGTTTAGTCTTCTCTTCTTTAATTATTTAGTGCTCGTAAAGATCTTTTCAAAAACGTTGTCATATTTGTCAATGGTTATACAGGTATTGCAATTTGCAAAAGTTTCGTTTGATTTTATTAAGTATTTGACAGTAAGCCTCACGTCTTCTTCAGTAATTTGATTCATACATACGCCCGTACTATAACAGTGTTAACTTTTATTAAGGTTAAATTTCCATAGGGTATTTGGGATGTGATTTTCTGAACATTGTTAGAATTTTAACGAACTTTGCTTTATATGTGTAAGCATAATCAAATAGCTACTATAGGTAAATTAAACTTACATGTACGCCTGGAGCCTGTTGCACGAAGCCTAGATAGCGTTATCCATTGAATAGCAAAAATTTTTAAACTAGTAAAATAGTTTTTATATTTTTCCTACGGCAAAGAAATTTTGTAATCTTCGAAACAATATTTTGTTTCGGTGATTGCACAGTTCGAATCTTATATTTTTTGCAATATAAAAGGTTTTATAAAAGTATTAAAAAAATTGCTGTACAATTGATAACGCTATCCAAGCTTCGTGCAACCAGCCTTAGTATTCTAAAAAACATACTCACACTCACGCTTAAATGACTTAATGATGTGACACAATAATCGTGCTCTCACTAATGAATATCAAACTCTTCTCCATTGATGAAAATATTTTACTAAAACATTTTATATCAAGTGGTTCGTGGAGTGAAAATACCGTCGTTGCATGCATAGTTATAGGATCACTTTTTCCATATTTGTTGATTTTACCAAGATGCCAATGATTTATCTTTTGCTCCGGAGACATCACGATGATCACGTCACCAGCCACCCTACCACCCAGTTTCTCGTTGCATTCTTAAATATTGGCTATAAAAACTGTTCTTTTAGAAGTATTTGGTTAGTGTTCTGGTTTTAAACAGTTCTTTTATGAACTACTACGTCAATTTTTAGATTTGTTACCATTTACGATTTGTTATTTAAATTGTTTTTTCAGGCCACACAGGTACTTATTATATTTCATCGTCTCCACTTATAGCATTCCTGCATTCTTGCAAGAACTTGGCTCTCTCCCTTAAATCATTTTCTTTAATATAATAAAATAGTATGTCTTCTCCCATACGATGATGAAAAAATATTGTAATTGAAAATTATAAATAGTCTTTGAATAGTCTTTGAAAAACTCACTCGTACTGGGGTAAAGCCCCCCTCCATATTTTAAAAATCTGCCATCTCAACCATTTGATTCAAATTTAAGTCAACATAAAAAAGAGTGGCGAACTTGCACTTGCCGAGAAATAGACAGTCGTGCTAAATATGGACAGGCAGTGCAGTTGATGACAGGAGTAACAACAAAAGCAAAAGACCAGATTCTTTTCCTATCAAGAAAAGGCAACCAGAAAACAACTGTCGCTATTTAAAGGATAGCCAATTCAGAGAGAGTCAAAACAATCTTACTTATACAGCCATGAAAACAAGACTAAGATAAACGGATCTGTTTAGGTGCATGGTTGTCAAGAAGCCGATACTTCATCCCACAAACAAAAACAGAACGATTGTTGTGGGCGCAAACATCATTGAGTGTAAAGCAAATGGATCAAATTTTATTGTATGATGATTAAATTTTTTATTTTTTTCAATGAATGGAAGATTTTCGTATGAAAAATGCTAATTGTGAAGCTGTGACTATAGTGACACGGGGCGATAGTTGTGAGATGGTATGAAGGTGTTTTGGATTTAAAACTCTGGTTATATGATTGAGATAAAGGAATTCTAGAAAAAGAGTAGTGATACTCTGTATTGCAACGACACGAAACATCATTTTCAAAAGAGTTGCCAAATTTATATTCAGACAAAGGAAAGGAACGGTGTCTTTAAGATCATGTAAATTTGGCTTTCCTCTGTTTGACCTGAAAGAGATTCGTTTACTTCCATACTTTCTTTATTTTTGCATGTATACTTGCTGTTTGCATGAACGACCTTGGATCTGCTGAAAGATTCATTCTTTATGCAAAGGTTTCCCAAAAGTTGTTTAGTATTATAATCACCACTACGGAAAAGCAGTACCCTAACCTTTTTGTCGATATGCACAAAGCAAACAAACAGAGATTTTATTTGCAATTAGACAATCGATTAGACAGTCTTTTTTCAAAATTTTTACGACAAACAACTGTAATACTTGTTTCTATGTTTACTAATTTTCAAAAGTAAAATAATACGTTTCAACGTTAAATACTCTTTTCACCAAGCATGTGCCCTAGAAATATCTGCTCCTACCACCCAACCCTCCCCCAACTAAATTGTGCTACCTACGCCCATCCCATGTGTTTCAGTGATAACAATTTTTTCTTTGTAGTTCCCAGCTCTGATGAGTTGAAAATCTTAATGAAAAAACACGGCGGTGGTTATCAACATTACTATTCCAAGTCAAAATGTACTCATATTATCGCCACAAATCTTCCAGACAGTAAAATAAAAGATTTGAAGTTAGTAAATTTAATCATTCTATACAAAAATTACTTATCATTGTTAATATACAAAGCTGCGTGTGCTTAGGAATATCGATGATTGAGGTGGTTGGTATTCATTTATTCATGATATGAAGTGTTATGTTCTTTTTAAATCAATTGTTTTTTATGAGGATTGTATATGAATGAATATGACCCCCCCCCCTCCAATTAACCTTCCCACGCCCATGCAAAGCTTTATGGCTAAGATTTTGTTGAATTAGAAGAGTTTTTTTTCTTTTCTTTTATCAAATCATGCCAATTGCTGTAATGTCTTTATACATCACGCTTGCATGTTAATTATGATCATAAATGCTGGATTTTGAGATCGCCATAGTAATAAAACTAATTTGATAAACTAAACTTTCTAAGACTTTAAATTTTACCAATCATATTTCACTATCTAGTTGACTTTCTTAGAACAGAAAAAGTTGTTCATCCCAACTGGATCGTAGAGAGTATAAGGCATGGTACACTCTTACCTTATCGCCAATTTCTTCTTTATGGCGGGAAGAATGATGCTGGAACTGCAACAACGGTAATAAATATAAAGATAAGCTGATCATTAAAACTATTAATTAAGACTTTTTTGATTCCGTCTTCCAAGCTGTCCATACAACATTAAGATTACAAAACAACAAATTAATGAAAACTATAGCAACCCTTTTCTTTATGAATACTAGCATTATTCTACTAAAACAATGAGATTACTCACTCTCGATTTCCATGATAGGATAACTGATTCGAACTTTGCCCTCATTAACCGCATAGAAATCTCACGTTTTTATTATAATTGTTGTATATATACGTATAGACATGAAGGTATACTGGTTTATGCACTGCTCGCTTATGTTTAAAATTGCTTTGTTTGTATGTTTTTGTGCACAGGGTTAATTAAATTAAAAATGAAATCAAAAAATATTGCAATAGATTTTACACTCAGTCACTTTGTTTCACGTATTTTTGTATTGTTCTGTTTTTAAAGTGCATATAAACCTTATCGGATGTTAGTATAGTTTGAAAGAGCAGTTCTTGAAAACTAAAAATTTAAGAAACAAATGAATTGAGATGAAAGCTTTCTTCGCAATTGCGGTTTAAAAGTCAGATTTTCACTACATTTATTTCCCAGTGGGGTCTGGTATCCAGTACATGTTGTGACGTCATGTAAGGAACACAGTCGAGTAGGCTCTATTCAAAACAAATTATTTTCTTTTTAAAACAATCAATATTTTCGCCAATGTTTCGAGTATTGCGTCGTTTTTTTAAAGATGTCCTCATCTGGTTCGGAAACATCTTCAGATTCATCAGAAAATGCAAATTATGATATAGAGTTGAAGTACAGTGTTTTAGCGGTGTCTGTCCTTGCAAATTGGTACATCGCCTTGCGAATACATGGGCATTTGGCATGATTTGACAATAGTAAAAAAATAGCTTGTTAAATTACTGCAATTTTCTGACAAGCGGATACTTACATGACGTCACCCGACCGCGCAGACCCAGTCCTTCAGCGGTAAAACCGAGAGCTTAAATTGGTATATTTTTGCAACTTTGACAGGATGTACAGCGCAAAATATTTGTCTCATTACTACTAAAATTTTGGAATATGCCTTTTGACACCACGTACATTAGATAGTGTAAAAACCACGTAATGTTTATATGCACTTTAATGATACTGTACACTATATCCATCAGCGGATCCAGCGTTAAACAAAATAGAATTTTTTTATTTTGAAATTCATAACCATATTGGTATTGTTTGTATGAAGGTGTTCAGAATTCAAAATTACCCGCTTCAATTTATTTTGTTTTGCCTCGCAAACGCTACTGCATACATCTTTCCTGAAGTTGCCAATGGTGAAAAAAATTTTGTGCAAACCTTACAGTTTTGCATTTCCCATTGCAAATATATCAAAGACTTTTGCCACATCACAAGGCATCTCGCTATGTATGAACATGAGCTTATTAATCCTGCATTTATCAAAATTCGTAATTCAACTATTGTACTTAGACCATGCATCGAAGCTAATTATTTGAAGGAAGTTGCTGAATTTGATAATTATTTTATGTAAGTGTCCCAACATGTTTTGTCATGCACTATAATATGTGGATTTGCTTCTATGATCTACACTGGCACAATACAGTGCTATTATATTGACCATCTTTGCACTATCCTTAGCACTAACCCTTTGCACTAACCTTATCAGTTTATAGGATCATCTTCTAAATGCTCTGAGGACAAACCTCATCCATTTGCTTCTTCACTGGATACTTGTACACGATTAGAAGATTTCGAAAAAGAAGGCTCCTCTAGAAAAAACGAACAGGAGAAATCAAACGATGTTGGTAGAAATGAAAAGTCGAAAACATCCATTCCAAAAGCTGGTGATGAAAACTTCCTGACAGATTACTATACTCACTCGCGCTTGCATTATCTTTCTACGTGGAGTGCCGAGTTTCGCGATTTTATCAACAATTTGATTCACTCGACTCAGCTTAAGCGACCGGCGAGGAAAATATCTGGCAGTCGTTTACAAAGAAATTCCTTTATAATGCACGTTGATATGGATTCATTTTTTGTTTCTGTCGCTTTAAGAACACGCCCTGAGCTTCGAGGAAAACCTGTGGTTGTGTGTCATGCAAAACAAGGTATGCACTATGCGTGTTTTTTTTTCAATCCACAGAAACTTAGCTAATACGAAAGATTATGTTTGTGTGAATATTCCCCAGTTATTGATCTTCCTCTGCATTTTAAGATAATTGAAATCGAAATTTGGGAAATGGAAATATGTTGCTCTGAATAATTCTGTATACTTTTTACGCATAAGGTAGAACACATTCCACCCACCATCCCCCCCAAATCTTGTAAACTCAAGGCTTGAGTTGTGATTGATAAGAGACGATTTTTAAAAGCAATATTTCGACTTTATATCAAATTCTGCTTGATAAAAACTTAGAAATAAAGTTAAAATATTGCATTTAATTCTTGTGTCTTGTCAATCGTAACTAGAGTCTTAAGTTTACAAGATGAGGTTTTGGAGTATGTTTTACTTTGCATTTCTTAAAATTTTTGGCTGGAACAGGTTATTGCGCATATTGAGGTGTATATTTGTGATGAAAACAAGAAAAGCAATGAACTGTTTTGGATTCACAGCATATAAATGTTATGTCGGGAAAATCATTTTTGATGGCAGTGAAGTCCCCTCCTGCCTATTATTCATGCGTTTTCGCTTTGCAATTGATCTGCTAACTTTTGCTGTTCTAGATAAGTCAACCAGTTCGACGTCAGAGATTGCATCATGTAGTTACGAAGCGAGATCTTTCGGTGTAAAAAATGGCATGTGGCTTGGTAACGCTCGTAAACTATGTCCTCATCTTGTGTGCGCTCCTTACGAGTTTGAAGAGTATCGTCGCGTATCTCAGCAGTTATACGAAATAATTGCTAGTTATACCCATCAAATACAGGCCGTAAGTTGTGACGAATGCTTTGCTGATCTCTCCGACTACATGGAGTCAGGTAAACACTAACACACAAAGCCACTTAATGCTCGTATTATCTGCAAATACTATTTAATGTTGTTTGAAGTCCACGAGTGCAAGGTTTTAGGTTTATGCTTGGCGGCTGGACATTTGATAGATTTTTTTCTTATTTTTCGGGTAAATCTTATTGTTGAGGAAAAAATGAGCAAACAGATATAAGTACTTTTAACAATTTTTTTATAAATTAATTAGCTAGCTTAGCCTAGCTATCTGGTTTGCATTGAACAAAATAGAGATTGTAAATTTGAAAATCATATTGCAGCAGTGCGTGTATATAAAATTTTCTTTGAACTTATCGCCGATGTTGGTGTCGCAAAAAATGATCGATAAAAGTTAGCTCCTAATCAAGTCCTTCGTAGAGTTTGAGAATCTGGACTCAAGTTTTACATGAAGATATTTTTTATGGAAGCGAAGCTTCTTAGTCTTAACCCTGTCACTTATCAAATCGGTTTCTTCTAAATTTGAAAAAATTTTACAAATGGCAGTACAGAAGATATATAAAGCGATAAAACAGAGCTTCCAAAATTTTTAGGAATAATTAACTCATAAATCTCAAAAAATTTCTTCCAAATTTCCTAAAAGAATCTGCACCCTACGTCAGCTATTATAAAAGTATCGAACAATGTAGCGCGAAGCTGCCACGATCTGAAGAAGATGATTTAATTGTTGGTACAGATGAGTCGAGGCACGCATGTGACCAGTTTTTGAATAGTAGGAAGAAGATAGAAAAATCCTTTGACATTTAAAATAATTTAAGAGAAAACCTTGCTGGTTTGAAGTTTCCACATTTATAGAGCTTATACAACGTGTATATTGCTGGTTTGTCAAATGAGTAAAGTGTGAAAAATATATGTTTTGCGCAGCCAGTTCGATAAATTCGCATTTGTATTAAAAAATAACTAAGTGAAATTATTTGCTCTGTAATGTCAAAAACTTAACAACATTTTTGATCGATTCTTTTAATGATTCTGTAGAATGTTTAACAGCATCCGAGGTGGCACGAATGATACGTGAGGATATAATAAGTATAACTAACTGTCCTGCATCTGCTGGCATTGCCTCAAATATGTTATTGGCTCGATTGTGTACCAGAGTTGCGAAGCCAAATGGACAATTTCATTTGCCCGACAAAGATGTTCCAAAATTTATAGGTAAGTAGCTACTGTACTTTATTTATGAAAAAAGGCAACCTTGGTATATTGCTGCGCTTGAGTTAGTTTATAAAACAAATCATCATCGATTTGAAGAGCGTTAGAGATATTGCCTTGTGATGCTTTTTTTTTACCATCATTCAGGACAGGTAGCGACTGACTAATTTAACATGTTTGAACAACAATGATAATGTTTTTATTGCACAACAAGGCTCTGTTTTTGCATTGTACACAATCAAGTACTAAAACCACTGGTAAATGTGCAGAACTGCATAGTGATTCAGAAAACATTGTTACTCATACTCATGATTTTTGAAACAGTGTTTTGTTAATAATTACATTTACACGTTTTATTATGTACGTAGGTAAACAAATGCTTTCTGATCTTCCTGGTGTTGGTCATGCCCTTAATGAAAAGCTTATGTCCTTTAATATGGTTACATGTGAACAGTTGCAGTCACTGTCAAAGTTATTTCTACAGCAAGAATTTGGGGAAAAAACTGGAGAAAAATTGTTCAAGTACAGTCGTGGTATCGACGATAGAAAGTTAAAGCTTGAACAAGAGCGAAAATCTGTCTCTGCTGAAATAAATTACGCCATCAGATTTGACGAGGTAAACTTTTAATCAAAAGATAGTCAGCTCAAAATCAATGAAATTTTTTGCGAGAAAACAGCTATTAAAACTTCAAATGGCCAGAGATTTCGTCTTAAAAGACTTTGTTGTAGACATCGAGGAAGGTTAAAGATAAGTTTAAAAACTCGTTTTAAGTCTGGATGAGTAGTGAAATAAAAAATCCACGCGGCAAAGCCAGATTTCGAGGGAGGTGTCCACTTCTCCTAAGATGGCTTTCACACCCCTTTACATGTTTGCACCTTCCACGAAAATCCATGCATGCCTCCTGTAAAATATAAAATTATTTCCATTCATTGCCAAAAACATGCCACAAACTCGAAATCTAAATTCTAAGGTACTGTTAAAGACACCTTTGTGAAGATATTTCCGTAATCTGTCAATGAAATTGGACAAACTATAAATTCAAGAATTCAACCAATCAGAGCCCATGTATTTAATGGGCTATTTTATAATAGGGTGTGCAGTACATTTAATATTTAATAGTATACTTGTTACAACTCTCAATCGCATGTTGAGTATCTATGTTCACGGGCGTTAATCGAACTTTAATTTAAGGGGACTATATTCATATGTTCTGCTATGCGTGACTAATTTCTTTTGAAAGTAAATTTGTTATCAAAAGAAATTAGCCAGGTATAGCTTAATATATATATCTAGTGCTCTTCTTCTGAACTGACGTGAATTTAGAAAAGATTATATAATTACGTAGTTTGTCAGCAATAACAAAGTTAGTAACCTAACAAAATTAAAAATGCCAAAATTGAAAAATGAAAAAGTTCTGTATAAAGTCCTCTTATCTTTGCTGACAATTAGTGAAAACTATGGAATCGCATAGCTGGTTCAAAATTCAGACAGTTTGTTATATGTTGGTGTCGTTGAGCCATACATCCCCTGAGAAGACAAACAATCAGACCTCCATGCACCCATTTTTACATTTCTCACACCTAGCTTGATGTATACACTCTACAGTAAAATTTGATGTGAGAGTAACCGACTCCGTTAGTAACAATAGCGAAATTTATCATACACAACGTGTAGTCTAAGGTGTTGTAAAAATGGCGTGATTTAACCATATATGGATGAGTCCACGTGATATTTATGACTTGGAGCAGTGCACAAAGTCAGAGTAAGGTGAAAAAGGGCTGCTTTACTGGAACAATGACGCTCTTTACTATAACGTTAGACGCTCTTTATTATAATACTCATACGTATTTATCTTTCAACAATTACAAAAAGTGTTCAACGAGAAATTTTTTCGTGAATAAATAAAATGAATTTTTATGGCTTTGAGATACTTTTAAGTTTTTCTTTAGAAATCTGAACCAGAGAAGTTCATCGATGACCTCTCGAACGAAGTGTACAGAAGATTAAAAAACTTCGGCGTGAAAGGAAAGCAGATTATGCTCAAAGTAAGTTTTGGCTTTGTTTTTCACAGTTATTGTCAGTTACTTATTCACTACCACCATCATGTGAGTAATAAGATTCCTTTGTACAACTAGTTTCTTGCGTATAACCAGTTTCTTGTGTAAAACGAGTTTCTTGTGTACAACCAGTTTCTCGTGTACAACCACTTTCTTGTGTACAACCAGTTTCTTGCTTATAACCAGTTTCTTGTGTACAACTACTTTCTTGCTTAAATGAAGATATGACCTTCGCACTTTGCTGGACAATTTAAGAAATTGTCTCATCAATTGTCACCTGAATTTTTCAGGTTCATCAGACAATTGCTTAAATTGTCCAGCAAAGTGCGAAGATCATATCTTCATTTAATTTCAAACACCGCACTGCATAAAACACTTCATAGTCTCTTGCTTATAACCAGTTTCTTGTGTACAACCAGTTTCTTGCGTGTAACCAGTTTCTTGATATCTTGATATAGTCAATTGTGCAGATATTCGACTGATTTCTTTTGAAAGTCAATTAATTTTCGAAGAATATGGTCTAGCACAACTGAATATATGAAGATACACTCCACCCCACCCCCCAATGAAAGTATTGTCTGCGGCCCTCATCCAATCTATATCTTTTTCCTATAAAGTCAAAATCTAATTTTGCAGGCAAATGTATCGTATACCAATCAATTTTGTTTTCCATTAAGAAGTTTTTCTACATAGTGAGAAAGCAGCAGGGTATAGTACTCTGTGATTGTAATCTACTTGATTGTAAAAGCCAAATTTTTCAGCATTTAAAATTCCTAGTATTTTGTTTTCTTTTATTATGAATGGGAGATGGATATCGCAAACGGCTAAAAAAGTTGTGTAAACACTTGTCTTCAGCTCACACAAGTTTTGTGGATTTATTTCGTGGACTTTAATTTCTTCATTTTTAATGGGATTAAGATCCGGTGACTTCATAAACCACTCCAAATAAGAACCACTCTTTAGTTTTCAATGCAGTGAGTTTTAGATCATTATTCTGATGGAACACCGCCCTAGTGACAATATTAGTATATTTACAAATGAAAGCATGCTTCCTTGAAGAATTTTCCAACTCTTCGCTATACCCATTTTCCTTGAATGACATGACGTTTACATGTTTATTTATTAATGGAAGCAAACATCTCCACCATATATTTTGGCTGGTTTTGTACTATTTTAGATCATGCTTATATATGCTAAACTCTACTTTCTCCAAACATGCCGTGAACTGTTTCCATCTACCAAAGATCTCAATTTTTATTAGATCTGACAACAATGTCCTGTCCCAGAAATCTTTGGGTTTCTCGACTTTGTCAAGCGAAGACCGTCAGGGTTTTTTATGAGAAGCCTAAATTCAATCCTGATCGATGTAGTATCCCTCTTACTGTGTCTTGAATCACTTTTGACCCAGTATCTTGGAGATGCTTCTCAGCCTGGAGATTTATCTGCGTAGTTATTGACTTTTGCATCATTTTTCGAGTGATCCGCTTCCCTGCGCTTCCCTTCAGCTTTTGTCAACATCGACAAACAGACACGAAGATTTGAGCACGTCAATTATCGAAAATTTTTAATTTATTTTAGCTATGTTCTACATTATACACAAAACCAAAGCTTGTGAAACTTATTATTTTTTGAATTTGCTGGATAATTCAGCATACTGCATGAGCATGATGCTGGAGAAAACAGGTTATCGGTTATCGGCTAACTATAGTTTTTTGTGTATACACAAAGTAATCCGTAAGCTACTTTTGACACTCTACAATATGTTGTTATAACTTACCTCATGTCTTCTTTTTCTTACATGAAGTTAAGTATACGACAAAAAGATGCTCCAATCAATCCTAAGAAATTCATGGGTCACGGATTATGCGATAACATATCGCGAACTGTCAACTTAAAATCATACACTGACGATCCAAACGTGATTGCAAAAGAGTGTAAGACCATGCTCAAAGCACTATCTTCGTTTGCAGTATCCGATATTCGTGGCATGGGAATTCAGGTGGCGAAACTTCTCCATGGTAACCACGAAACTCCTGTCCAAACGCTAGACGACTTTATATCATCAACACGTTCATTGCAAGTGCCAAGGAAAGAATTTCTTTCGAATAAATTGAAAAACGAAGATCATCGATTTAAATCACGAGTCCCTGTACTGAGGTATTTTAATGTTTTCAAATTAGTTCGATGAGTTACTGTCACTGATCTGATAATAGACTGGATATAGCTTCTATAGGTAGCAAAAGTGAAGCCTAATTATATATGCAAAATGCACTTCCGGGTACCACAAGAAATACAAATTACTATAGAAATGTATGGCAGATAACGTTTACATACAAGGATTTTCGAATATTTACGGCATTTCATGACCTTTTACTAATCTCAAACATCTGTCATGGATAAAGCAAGTTATGTTAATCAATTTGACATCAAAATGATACCAATATCTGCAAACTATCGGCGCTCGTGTTCAATTAAAAATTGCGCGTGCAAGAATCGAATTTGCTCCGTTGTTGCGAAGGCAAGATAATTCACAGCTCATTTTCCAAGTTCAGAGGCAGTTATGATCTAGAATGAGTTTCGATGCTTAAAAATTCGTTTAGTACCTTTCTTTTATCATTCTTTATTATCTAGACATTGTTTTATGTAACTTTTGCCGTGACTTCATTAGCTGGGTACTCTTGTTGTAGGAAAAAGACAAATTTACTAAGGTTTCACGATAAACTCATTTGCAGAAAGGAAACCTCTCCACGCGCAAAGACAAGGGGATCACCAAAAAAGTGGCCGAAGACAAACGATGTCTCTTCTTTCAAGACTAACACGTTTAGTAATTCTTATCTTTTCTTACCCCGTGAAATAGACCTTTCCGTGTTTCATTCCCTACCTGATGATTTGAAGAAGGAAGTTGAGACATCGTACCGATGGATGAACGCGCCTCTTACAATCAGCCATGAAAAAACGGTATATGGTAATTTTATAATTTCTCATTCATCAACATTGATTTGCTCACCAAGTCTTTGATTTCTTTTGGAGTGTAATGCTATGGCACGTTAACTCTTCCGAGCTTAGAAATACTTTTCGTCAGATACGATTTTTTATCATATCCTTCATGCAAGCCTGATATTATACAAAATCATCTCTTTTCACCATTACTATTACGCCTTGTTGCGTCACTCTTAAAATGTGAAAATTTTGCTAAGCGTCGTTGCTTTAGTCGTTGTGCTATTGAATATCGGTTAAAGTAACATTTTTGCTTTGGTTAAAGGCACGAGATACGTGAAAACAACCTTAAAATATAGGCTCTAAGAGTCAGATGTAGGTAAATTTAACCCATTAGTGTTTACAGTGTCAATAATGCTCCCGTGGTAGTTTGTGTAAGAGCAATAAAACTCGAGGTGTTGTTTTTAGGCATATTGATATCTACAAATAATTTTACTAAGTAGTCTTTAATTAGTCTCTTAGTGTAGTTCACGACTATGTCACAAAATTATTGATGAATTTTAAAACACTTTAGACATCAGTTTCCATTGCAAATCAGAATTTGTCTAATAATGATCAGAAAATTGACACACAAAAGGTATGGTGAAATTAAAAGTGCAGTTTATGTGTAATTGCGCCAATCATCTGGCGCGTTTTATTTGGTATGCTTGCTTCACCTTTTAAGATCTTCTATTTACAATTCCTGTTCTGCTTGTTACATAGACAAGTCTTTGCCTTGCCGAGTCATTATCCGAAGTAAAAGATCTCATTAAACGTTGGGTTGAGGATACGAACGGTAGCCACTCTGAAAATTATTGAAATTTCGGAATGTTTCTTGAACTTTTTCAATTGCAAAACTATACTACGAAGTTTTTTTTTATTTTGCCTGTCATGGATTTAGATCTTTGACAAAGTGTTCGAATGAAAACATGAAACGTTTTATTAACGCAGTTCTCTGTTTTTGTAAGAAATCTCGTTCTACACGATATAATCTATAATTTCTTCTTTTGATCTTTGCTACAGTACCAATACGTGAAGATGTTGATATATTTGTCAATTATCTCGACCAACTGTGTCGTCATAATGACCTGGAAAAGTTGTGTTTGATTCTCAAGTACTACAGACGGTATAAGTATAGATCTGGTTGTGTTTTAAAAAAGGATGACTGTTATGGACTTTGGGTACAAAATATGGAATATATGTATACAGAAGGTTTGCTCGTATCGGAACCTTTAATATTTTCCTCGTGCATGCATGCTGCGCTTCGGAAATTTCTTGTAGAGTCTAAATATTTCCGAACTCATTACTCAGAAATGACGTTATGTCATTTTAAGGATTTGAACTGAACAAGTGACAAACATCAATCACCTAGTGGGAATATTGGCTGACGTAAGGATCGCACATGCCTAACATTCTCCCTGTTGGTTCCTAACTTGCTAAAACATACTATGCATCTAATTAGATGCAGCACCATATTTAACACTTCTAGAAAAATAAGAAATTTGATATAAGGAAGTGATATTTGCAGTGGTAGTCATGAATTTTGGAGTGCATTAGAAGTACAAGCTTACTTCAAGTCCTCAAAGAACTATCGATCTTGAGTAACATTGTATGATAAAAACAGTACAGAACACCCACTTAGCTACTAAACAAATCTCAAGATGTTTAATACACTCGGACATTAATGTATATGGAATACGAACTTTAAAATAGTAGGGAGAGACTTGCCGAGCGGAAATCGAGTTCGTGTAATAAAAATTAATGCCCAACATAAAGTTCTGATTAGAGCCATAGTAATAGACCAAAAAACAAATTGTAAAATTAAATTTATTGTAACGTTTGGTCTATTTTTATGGCTCTAATTAGAACTTTATGTTGGGCATTAATTTTTATTACACGAATACGAACTTTGTTTAGTGCGATCGCAGTCTTAATTGTTGTTATCGCATATGGAGGATTATCTTTGTTTTTGCGAAGCATTTTTGTATAAAACACTCTCAATATAGATATTACAACATATTTGTAACAAGCATTGATTAATGTGTTGAATGAAAAGTATTCCTCCAAGTTTTTGTTTTATATCTTAGGTTAGCAACACGAAGAGAAACCTTGCAACCCACTTTTAACAGTGTCCTCGAAAGAATTCAAGAGAAAATGAACGAGAAAATCAATGGACAGTTTCGTCTTAAGCAATTTGTGATCGCTATTCCCAAGATGTGATTAATAGGAATGGTTAGAAAATTATTATTATAATGTGTAAATATTAATTATTATAATGTGTTATTATAGCTACTGTATAAATTTATACATTATTGCAAATGTATCTTTTTAGTTTATGTCATAAAATGTAACATGCGTGTTGATGCGCCGATGACGAAATCACCCGATTATTTCTTCATTTCGAGAGTATGTTGACGTAACTAATGCAAGAATGTACATTAGTTTAGTTGATAACGGCGACAAAAAATGTAGAAAGCTAAGGATTCGAATATATGTTTTGTAAGAGGCATGAGTATAGGATATTCAAGTCAATGTCTATACTTTGTGTTACATCTTTGTCGTGGTAATGATCGTGTCGACATAGTTTTGCTGTGATCAACCAAGTGTGATGATTACACTTGGTTTGTCTGCGAACATTAATGCAAATCTGAAAAAAAAATTTAAAAAATATTCGTGGCTTTTTCTGAAAGTTAAGCAGGCGTTTGCAAAAGCGCTACTGCGCCCAGAACTTGTGTTGTTTTGGCTGTAGACCAGTTTATTTCTTTGATCTAGTCCTCTTAATTTGGATTTTAATCCAGCTGCACTGCAAAAAATGTTCTGTAAATTGTACACAAAAATTCGAGTAAAATTTGTATCCACAGTAACACAAACTTTAATGTAAATATTACACAAAAGTATTCGTAAATTTACACAATAATAATGCATGCGTAGCAACACAAATTTTTTAGTAAAAATAATATAGCTACACATCTTGTGTAAATGTTGCTATCACACAATTGTATGTAAATTTACACACACAGCTATGCATCCAAACTAACAAAAGTTTTTGAGAAAAATTTCTGTTAACACACACTTTGTGTGGACGAATACTCATAATAAATATATTATTACCAAGGGAAAGTCTCTTATGTTATATAAAAATACATAAATCAATAAAACATGTATATCGCGCAAGGATTCATGTACACTAACATGAAGTTCATTTATAAAATAATACATGAAACTAAAAGTATAAAAGGTAGCTTTTTGACCATCCAATAGAGCCATCCTTTCCTTTGGACGTTTAAGTCAATTCCGGTTATACGTTTTTCAGCATCTCATTTCTTAAAGCCTCACGCAATTAACCAATTAAACATACAAATACCGTGTTACACGTTTTTCACTGGAATCGCTCGTCAGATGACGCAAAACGACGTCGGCTTTCTTTTACGTTAACTTGAGAAACGCGTGCGTTGCTTGGTGACACTTGGACGAAGCTATTTTTTTCAAGATCATTCTCTCTTATTCATTTCTGCTGCAGTTCTTTATTTTTCGTTCCATGGAAGGTAAAATGCCCAAAGTAGTTGAAAATGCTAAGGGTGCGAGGACACTCTCTCACTTGTAGCACATGCATCAGATGGAGAAAGACTTGTTGGAGCACAGGTAAACCATTGCTCAAACAAATCTTTCTCCATCTAATCCCGTACTGAATCCATTCATAATGCACCGTTCATATCTTATACTTCTTATGTACGCGGAGCAGTTTGAAGAACTGATAACAGCATTACATGTGTTCATTGTACCAAGATCACTGATCTTGATACAACAAACTCACGTGTTGCTATTGTCAAAGGTAAAATGCTCAAAGTGACTCCAAAAAAAGGATAACTCCTAGGTTGTAACATTTGCATGAGATGGAGAAAGACTCGTTCGTAGCAGCAAAACGACAGGCTGAACTAATCCTCAAATTATCCTCTACACAACAAAAGATACATAGGAAAACGCTTTAATGACTCTGAAGTTCAAAAAAATAGTAAAAGTCTTTTTTAAATTTTTTCATTACATACTTATGCGATCAACTTAATATCAACGGTTGAACACCTACCTCAATGACTATCTTATACTTTGTGTAATAACATATTTGAATATCCTAATTCAGGAGGGTCGTTTTTGTTGTGGTTTACTGTTTTAAAGCTGGTTTAGTCTGGCATCATTTTTACTCTTGTACATTTCAGAGACGCCGCAACCTCGATAATTGGGGGAGCAAGTATTCGTAGTCACAGCTCGTAAAAAGTAAATATGAATTTTCAAAATTTCATGTGCTCTTTAATCTACGTCTGATTTCTGAGTATAAAACATAATCTAAAATGCTGGAAAACGCATTCCCTACCAATATATGTTACATATTCATGGTTGTTTGGTGCATTGTCTGATGCTATAACTAGCCGACAATTATATCATTCTTCAATTGGTGAACACATTTATGAATCACATCCACCTCATATCTCTTTAAATGATTATTTTAACAAAAGTCGTATGGAAAATAAAACTGTGTGCATGTGTTACTGATATTGAAAGCTATTCTCATTAGTTCGGGTCAACAACGTCTTGTTAAATGTCACGTCATAAAATGAAAGGCATTTTTTGGTCAAGTTTTGTAAGTTTTAAAACATTGCTACCGTAGTGAGTGAGCATTAAACGAACGAGCTTACCTAAAGCTTACAACAGGCAAAATTTAAGACTTTAGCTTACGAAGTGCAATTTTGGTAAACGTGATTAGCCAACCATAATTGTTGTTTATGCAAATACAGCGCTGTTGGCCAGACAGCGTTGTTTATGCTAAAAGAAATTAATTTTTACTTTATTTCTTACACTATTTCAAAAGACAATCTCGCGACGTTCTTTTTTTCAGTCACTCGATTCCTTCCATACATTGTTCCTGTCTCATAGGCCGTGTGTTACCACGTCTATTGCCGTGCGTTTGTATTTCGTGCAACCAAAAATTCTGTTGGATGAGTCAAATATTTACTGCGCTGAATTTTGAAGCCATAACGTTTTGAATGTTTTTATATATTGTAAGTTTTGTTATGCAATCAACTATATGTTTGGTTGTTAATGGCCACGTAGTTAATAAAATGAATAAAAGGTTCGTCTTTAGTAATTATTTTTATGAAATATGTACGGCATCATGAGTTTATTTTGACCACAAGGACCTAATGTTTACTTTACATTTGTACATTGTACTGTTTACTAAAGTTGATTATATCAAAAAAGAAAATAATCTCACATCATGACGTGGCATTTGTGAATATCAAGCGCATCACTGACTTAAAATTATTTCTTAGCAAACCTTTTATTCATGTCAGAGAAAACAGAAATGAAAAATGAAACATACTTTCCAGTCGTAGTAATGAACTTAAAGATAGCTTTAAAAGTCCTGTATCGAATCTGAAAAACGGTTTTCATTTGGAATGGAAATAAACATTGATTTGTCATGAGTGTTTAGTCATACTTCATTGAGATGCTTTAATACCAAATTTGTTATGTCAGTAGTGCGGTTTCAAAATCTCGCTTTACTTTCGTAAAATTACCTTCATTTTAGAAATAAGACTTCATAAATGACAAACGTGTGGACAAAATTATGTTTGCTTTAGTTCTTTACGTGTTACATACCTAACAAAAACTGAGAGATTTAATACAAAGAACGCGACCATATACATATCAGTCCAAAAATGATTATAATTCATACCTTATTGTTACATCAATTTTTTGGCCATGTGAGTTTTGTTACATAAGGACATTTAAATAAAGAACGCAGATGAGGAGTCAGTCAACATCTCCTTCAACAAGCAGCATCATAAAACATTAATAACATCTATGTAGAACATTCTAGTTATATAACTAAGTATACATCACTGACTAAAAACAATTGTTATAGAAATAAAAATACATAAATAATAATGTCATGCAGAGTACATTGTAGCATTGATATCAGTCAAATTCCAAAGAACTAACGCTAAATTTTATAAAGTTTCACAAGTTTTAACTTAGAAATAGAGGATCTTCTATGTAAGACAGGATTCAAATGTAAATGTTGAGACACGATTTTAGAAATTGCATATGGATTTTTTTATTTCATTAATCAAAAATTCCTTACATGTATATTAATAGACAATAGTTCATAAAATGAACAAAAAAGTCAATGGACAGTTACGCCTTAAGCAATTTGTGATCGCTTTTCCAAAGTTGTGATTAATAGAAATGGTTAGAAAATTATTATTATAATGTGTAAATATTAATTATTATAATGTTTATTATAGCTACTGTATAAATTTATACATTATTGCAAATGTATCCTTTTAGTTTATGTCATAAAATGTAACATGCGTGTTGATGCGCCGATAACAAAAATACGCGATTACTTTTGCCGATTGATCGTTGGTCGATTTATAATCAGCCAATTGATCTGCATAAATCGATTCTAACTATATTTTCATGCTTTTTAGCAATTTTGTGCAATGTATTGACGACGCGCTTTGTTTCTTCTTTCTCTTTTCGAGGTTCGAATTTATTTTGATCGGTGTTAATTTGTTCAGAGTTCAAAATCTTGTTTGAAGATATTAAATAGAATCTATTTAAGCATCTTAAAGGTGTAGGTACAAATTTGTGCGCAACGGAAAAATTAGTGATGAAATTCGAGTTGTGCTTTTGTTTTGTGAAAAGAAAATGATGTTGGCTCCTTATGTGGCGCTTATCTTCTTTTTTTACTAGCGGAAATAATTCTTTCCATGCTAAAGAACGCCGTGTTTGAGATACTTTACCATCTTTCATTTAGAGAGTAAGTCGGCGTAACTAATGCAAGAATTTAAATTAGTTTAGTTGATGACGGAAAAACAAATGTAGAAAGATAAGGATTTTAACATATGTTTGCAAGAGGCATGAGTATAGATTATGCATGTTAGCGTGACATTTGTGTTGTGCTCATGATTGTGTCGATATAGTTTTGCTGTGATAAATTAAGTGTGATGATTACACTTGGTTTTCCTACGAATATTAATGCTAAATTCCCCAAACGTCCTCTACAATGAAACCTAAAAATCAGCTGCACCGAAAAATTGTACACAAAAATTCGAGTAAAATGTGCATCCACAGAAACACAAACTTTAGTGTAAATATTACACAAAACTACTGGTAAATTTACACTAATAATGCATGCACTGCAACACAAAATTTTGAGTAAAAAAATGATATACATGCATCTTTCGTAAAAATGTATTACACACAGAGAGATGCATCCAGAGTAACACATGTAATTGAGAAAAATTTCTATTAGCACCCACTTTGTGTAAACGAATACTCGTATAAATAGGTAACAAGAGAAGGTCGCTTATTGTTTAAAAAAGATAGATCAATAAAACATTTATATCGCAAAAGCACGCATATGCACTAACATAAAGTTCATTGCAAGATAATATAACTAGGTGGCTTTTTGTCCATCCAATAGGGTCATCTTTTCCTTTGGAAAACTAAGCCAAGTCCGGTCATAGTTTTAGCATCTTCATTTGACATTTGAACATAGAAATACCATATCACACTTTTTATCACTGGAATCGTACCTCAGTTGACGAAAGGCAACGCCGGGTTTTGTTATACGTTCACTTGAGAAACGCGTACGATGCAATTAAATGACTTTGTGACACTGTGACGGAACTATTTTTCTTCAAGATCCTTCTCTTTTATTGATTTGTGCTGCAGTTTTCCATTTTTAGTTTAATGAAAGGTAAAATGCTCAAAGTGTTCTTTCTCCATCTGATGCAAATGCTACAACTCTCTCAGTTGTAACATTTGCGTCAGATAGAGAAAGACTTGTTCGACAAGTGCTCAAACAAGTTTTTCTCCATCTGATCCCATACTGATCTCCATTCATAAAGCACCATAATGATTTCCATTCACCACTATGATCTTATGCTTCTTATGTACGCCGAGCAGTTTGAAGAACTGATAACAGCAACACATAGGTTGGCTGTGCAAAGATTACTGATAAAAAAGATCACTGATCTTGGCACAACAAACTCATGTGTTGTATTTATGAAATGTAAAATGCCCAAATTGATTGGAAATGCTAAGGGTGCAAGTATAACTCCGTCAGTTGTACCATCTTAATGAGATGGAAGAAGACTTGTTTCTACCAGCAAAACGATATAATAACTTTTAAATGTTCTTGTACAACCACTTATGCCACACAAACAATGGAAATTTGGATCATTCCTGTGACACCTTCCAATGTGGTTTATCAATTGACTGCGATGTTCAGCAGAAAAATCTCCACATATATTGCACTGCCAGGGCATGTAAGCGTCTATGTATATGTAGATATGGCAAATTTTCCTTTTATTGTCTTGTTTATCTTAAAAGCTTGAGGTTTTTCAGTCCATTTTCAAGAGCCGTTATTTTACAAAGCTTCTTGTGACTTCTTTCCAAAGTACCGGAACAGTGTTCATCCCAATAACCAGGACAAGCAAACAATTTCAAGTAATACAAAATAAAACAAATAAAAATCATAGTTAAAAATAATTTGTCATAACTGTCATTTCCGCTTGTAAAGACATTTATAGCATTGTATTCTGTAAATGAAACTGTTTTGCTATGGACAAAAATTTGAGGGAGAAACTCGTTAATTCCGGCGTAGAAGAAGCAACAGTTTCTATATTGGAAAATCAAAAAGTAAGTGAAGTGCATCTACAAATAAAAATCATAGCTAAAAATTATGAGGCGCCGTTCGTTGCAAAAATCAAAAATGTTATTCTCATGTATTGAATTGCTCTCACCACACATTGAATTCGTTATCCACATGATTCATAGACTGAAATCCTTTCATTCCGTATTAAAAAGCCATAGACTTTTGATTTTGCTAAATTTTCACCTTGTTTTTGTATAAATTTCACTTTGTTTTTCTAAAAATCTCACTTTGTTTTTGTATAAATCTCACTTTGATTTTGTTTAATCTCACTTTGATTTGTGAAAATCTCACTTTGTTTTTGTGAAAATCTCGATGTAATTGACGTAAAATTTTACAAATACAAAGTGAGATTTTCACAAATCAAAGTGAGATTAAACAAAATCAAAGTGAGATTTATACAAAAACAAAGTGAGATTTTTACAAAAACAAAGTGAAATTTATACAAAAACAAAGTGCGATTTTTACAAAAACAAAGTGAAATTTATACAAAAACAAAGTAAGATTTTTACAAAATCAAAGTGAGATTTATACAAAAACAAAGTGAGATTTTTACAAAAACAAAGTGAAATTTATACAAAAACAAAGTGAGATTTTTACAAAAACAAAGTGAAAATTTAGCAAAATCAAAAGTCTATGGCTTTTTAATATGGAATGAAAGGATTTCAGTCTATGAATCATGTGGATAACGAATTCAATGTATGATGAGAGCAATTCAATACATGAGAATAACATTTTTCATTTTTGCAACGAACGGCGCCTCATAAAAAATAATTTGTCATAACTGTCATTTCCGCTTGTAAAGACATTTATAGCATTGTATTCTGTAAATGAAACTGTTTTGCTGTGTTGTTTTTGGGCAGGATGGACAAAAATTTGAGGGAGAAACTCGTTAATTCCGGCGTAGAAGAAGCAACAGTTTCTATATTGGAAAATCAAAAAGTAAGTGAAGTGCATCTTGCATAAATCATAATAAAGTAAATGGTTTGAACCCGGGAGTATCGTTACAAACATATAAATCATAATGTTAAATATCGCATTGATTTCCAAACTTTCTCTATCTAGTTGAATGACTGTTTTATATTAAATGAAGCGGATATCAGTGTTTTGGTTTTGTGTGGAGTAAAGGCAGGTGATGCAATGCGAATTAAAAAGATTTGCGCAGAAATGGTGGTTCAGAACAAAGACACGACTGCATCTATGGTAAGTGTTCATGCTTGTGTGTTGTGTATAAAATAATATTCCTAATATTTATAACCGTGTCACCCACAGTGACTATTATTGATTGACCTTGACTGGTCATATTGCTGGTCATAGGAAGTTTATAATCAGTCATAACTCCTTATCACAGACAGTCTTGAATCAAACTGGTATGTTTGTTAGGTTAAAAACTAAACTTAGGATGTTTTATATAAGTGCGCTAGTTCCAGTCTTCAGTTGGAAGTTCGGACTGATGTGGATGATGCCCCGATGGAAAACGAAAATACAAAAAATAGCACACTGCCATTACCCTTTGCATATCAAGAAAAACGAAACCGGCTGTATTTCAAAGACTATAAACTGCTCGAAACGGTACAGTCTAATTTCTCTCTTTACTCTTATTTTGATAAATTTAGTAACCATGGAAAACTATCGTTAAAATGTTCTTATTTAAGAGAAAGTTCTTTTTATTTTACACATATATTCATATGGACCTGTTTACTTAACCAGTTTTCCCCTGCTGTAACATCCGCTTTGGCGAATAATTGCTTGACTGGGACACTAAGGAGCGAATTTATAAGGGATATATGTACAGACATATCATCTCATGGCATCGCTTACATAAACAAGGAGGAAAGAAATAAAGTTTCTTTTGCAATTGTCACTAAATACCCTCATCTCAAGGATGCTATAGGAAGTGGATTGGTATGTCATAACTCAGAGTAATTAAACGTACAGGTATATTTAAATTTTGCGAAGTGATCTTGCGTGACAGTATAGTTAGCACAAACTTCTTTTACCACAAACGACGACAGGCGAGCATTTCTGCCTGAATTTGAACTTGTTCCTATTATTGTGTTTCCCATGAAAGAATTAAATGATGCTCTGTTTATAGCTACAAAGCATAACTAAAACTTTTAATCTAGTTAGATCACTGCATGTTCCCTCACATTTATCATAATGATCAAAGTCAAAGAATGTCTAAGCGTAAGTCAACATTCTTCTATTTAAGGAAAATGAACAAGTGTGCGCTTTTCTTCAAAAGTCATAAATATATACAATAAGTGGTGATTTGAAAATTTTTAGGGGTCTTGGTCTGAATCAATCAAAAATCGATTTAAACATGTTCGAAAATACGAGAACAAAAAGAAACGAAAATCATCGACTGTTGACTTTGATGTCCAGGGCAGCGTGACTCCTCCTCGTAAAGGAAGGCCAAGACAAACAAATATCTGGAGCGAAGTACCATCATGTAACAACACAACGGAGACCATTCACAAGGAGCATATTTTGCACTTGCAAAGTGAATGCCGCAAATCATCATCCATTCAAGATTATGGAATTATTAAAGAATTAATGAATTCAACTTACGATATCAGACGAAGAAACATATTGACTACAGTTGCTCCTGTTGAAGATATCGTACAACAATATCCTCCTTTATCCACACTTAAAGGGGTTAGGGGTTGAATACGTTACATTGTGACAAAGTCTTGCTTTCACCATATTTTACAATAAATCAGATATTTCACAAATATTATTTTGCAATTTATTTTGTGATGAGAGATGATTGTGCCGTTAAAGACATGAAGTCTTCATTCTCTACTTATCGAAAAGCAATCTTAAAGTACTGTAAAGAATTATATCGAAAAAGACCATTCATCAAGAATACTTTAAGGTGCCTAGAAAAAGCAGTATCAGAAGGAATAGAGGACTCCTCCGGTAAGTAAAAATAGCCTAGTAGCTAATAAAGCCATTTTTTTTTTTCGAATTTTATGTTGGGCAATTGTTTCTTTAATACGTATCCGTTTCCCACCTGGCAAGTCTCTCGCTTTTAGTTACAGAGTGTTATAAATTACAAGGTGTAGCGATGACACTGTCATCCCTATATGCTTTCCGCGTGGTAAATCTATTATCACAATATTTAAGGAAAATATAATATTTTATAAATGCTAAGTTGTGTTAACTTTTAAACAGACTTTGAAACAACAAGTTCAGTGATGCTGTTAGTCCATTTGCTAACCAAGAAAACGTCTGAAAACAGCCTGATGGAAATGCTGTCGGTAAGCAATGATAAAGACTTCTTTGTGAACTGCATGCAACGCTTGTGTCGATGTTCTTTAATTTACTAGAAACGTTTTCCATACAGTGCATTCATCGAGGCAACGTTCAAACACTGAAGCATTTTCTTTTTTGTGTATGTTTTAGGAAGATGATGATTTGCCTAACAAAATAACCCGCACCACCTATCCACGGGTTTTGGTTATTGGTAAAAACATACTGAAGCCTGACAGGCTACTATTGTGCGTCGAAGGACGACAATTCGTTGACGTAACTTCATTTTCTTTAGACACAGTCCTTTTTACGCTCTATGCAACATACTATGTATTTTCTATAGCTTATCCACAAGATCATAAGGATGTATTTCTTTTTATTGATTCCGTTTTTGTTGGGTTGCAGCACACTGCTATCAATAGAATTAGCTCGCAAAAATTTATTAAAGCTCTTGCCAGTTTAAAGTAAGCATTAAGTGGACATTTAAAACATTACACTGGACATTTAGACAATTTTTTCCGTTACGGTGTACGCATGTTTTATGTTGGAGTAGCTAGCTCAATTATTGAGGGGAGTACTCAAGGGCGGCGGAGTATTGAAAATTGGGGGGCGCTATTATTAATTTGTGCCCGTTCTACTTTACATTGAAATTAATTAGTTTTAGGAATTATAACATTTGAATATATGAATCACCCCCCCAGATATCAATGTTCTGCCAATGGTAGAGTATTTATGTTTGCCAATACTCTGTCAATGGTTGAGTAATTATGTTTGCATGTTGAACCTCGTTACTTTTCCTTGAATCTAATCTTTTTTATTGATAATAACGCGCATTTTTAATATTTGCCACCCTTCACTCCATTCTCGAGACCCTTCACTCCATTTTCGAGATAGCTACGCTCATTCCTTTTCTGTTGAAATAAAGAGATTGTTTTTTTGAAGCATTACCTCCTGTATTTGCTCATGTGCCCTAAATAATGCAGCATTCTGTGTAATTTCTTTTTACCCCCAAATTATGGGGGAATTGCATGTCCATCAAAGTCACCCCTTTAAAATTTACCCCCATAAATTTTACCCCTTGATAAATTTCACCCCTTAATAGAAGTTACCCCCAACTAAATATTACCACCGTAAATTTTACCCCTAAATAAATATTACCCCCATAAAACATTACCCTTCAAAACCGGGGCATTCTGTGGCACTCATTTCACCCCTAACGTTAAGGGTAATTTTTACCCCCCAAAATTTACAGTGCATCTACTCAACATGTACAAAAAGATACATGCATTGGATGACGCTTTAATGACTCTGAAGTTAAAAAGATATTAAAAACCTTTCATTAAAAATAGCTCGATTATGTGATTTAAAAAGGAAAAGCGCCAAGCTGCCAAAGACTTATGCGATTAACGTAAAATATCGACGTTTTTTAATTCTATAGTCCAACCGCTGCCTCAACAACTATCTTACTCTTTGTGTAATAACGTATTTAATTATCCTAATTCACGACACGTATTCTAAACTGATTTGTCACACAATGAAAAAATATACCAACTTTCTTTACTTTAAAAGACATCGCAGACTACGAGTTTTCAACAAAATATCGTTTTCAGATCATTGAAATGAATATAACTTGAACAGAATATTCAGATTGTTTTGATGAAGCCAAAATTTGCTAAACTTTACCTCCAAACACGCGGCTTCGTTCGGCTTCATTCCTTATTTACTCATGGAAGTTTTTGAAGAAAGCAAAACTATTTGACTATTTCATTTTGTTTGGTTGTAGTGTACAAAATGAATTCAAAAGAAAGTTTTTGTTTAGTTTATGGTTTGGAGTTAGACGTTCGTGATTTGGACTGTAATGGAGCATGTTTTAACACAAACACAATTTGATTTTGAGTAAAAGAAGCTGTCGATTGACTTGGAAAAAACGCTATTAACCAAAAAACATTGGCGGTGTGAATTGTGAATGCTTCCATAGAGAAGAAGAGACTGGCGAGAAGCGGCTTCAATATTACAGGGACGGGTAGCGTTCCAGATATATTCATTTCAATTGTTCAGACTGATACTGCTACGCTCTAACAACAATGTTTTCGCGCCAAAAGGACGTACTTCGTGCTTGTAGTCGTATTCGTAGTCTTTGCTAACGCTCTCTATTTTCTTGTAGACATTCACAAAATGAGCTGCAAATTTCCTAGATGTCCTGCAAATTCTTTTCAATATCTTTTTGATTTCCAAAAGTTATTGCTAGTAAAGTTATAAGAATAATCGTCTATATAAATAAAGTCAACAGCCATAGGTTGATTACAATTAATATACTTTTAAAAAAGAGCTTGAGAAGTTTAGACAATTGACGTCAATCTATATGCTGACATAAGACCAAACATTTCGTGCAGTAATCTGACTGAGTGAACAAGTTATAGATGATGTGTAAAAGCTTTAAGAATTTGGGGAGAGGAACCAATCAAGACATGGATAGAGAAGTGGAATAAAATTTGAAAATAAGAAAACTAATGAAAGATTTTGCCAAATTTGAATGGGAATGCAATGCTCTGTCTGCGTCTCAAGTGGAGTTACTGAATCCTTGACTAACTCGGTTAGGAAAGTTTTAAATCATCTGTCAGTAATTAGACCCGCACTTATGAGCAATGGGCAACCATTGTCTCGGAAGCGATCTATCTTATCATTAGCCTTTACCCAAGGTGATCCAGAAGGATTTAGAAGAAGGTTTTCTGAAAATAATCTTTTGCATCCTATTGAAAAGTTATTGCGACCCAGCCTAGCTACTGACATGAATATCGACTTTCGAGATGTGTTGAAAGTTGTGGACAAACAAGTATAGAATTGTATCATATGTGCTGTGTATGTTAGGTATGATTGATTTAATCATAGTCACATGACTTGAAATAACTGCTATGTGTCCAGACAGGAAAAAGGAAAAAATTATTGCCCACTCATTTTGATATAATAAAAAATAAAAAAGTTGTGGAATGGAAAACCAAAAAAAACATTTTTCGGGCTTATTAAGTGACAAAATAGACCTTTGATAGAAAATGACACAGTAACAATATACATATACAATTTCTTAATTCTGATTGGTTTAGAGGCAAAGCAATTTTTAGCAATTACCGGTAAAAAATATCAGTGTGAATTTCTTTTTCCATATGCATCTTAGATGTGCAATGCAATTATGCAAGATAGACTTTTTGTATAAAGTGACGTAGCCAGCAAGCACTTTTTGGTCCAATTTTGTAAGTTTCAAAACAATATTATTGCCGCAGCCAGTGAGAATTAAGCAAGCGAGCTAAGCAGCAAAACTAAACCTTACAATTGGCAAAATTTAATATTTTAGCTTGCAAAATGCATTTTGGGTAAAATACGGACCCAAAATGCAGTGCGCTTTGACCCAAAATGTCATGCGCTCTTCAAAGAAAATGGATTAGCCAATCATAATTGTTGTCCATGCAATTACATCGTCTCTTGGTCAGAGGGTGTTGTTTATGCTATAAGAAATTGTTATTTACTTGACTTTTGAACTTGTTGAATACGAGTATATAATAATAATTTATTGATGACTCAATTGGTCTTATTTTGGGGGTAATGTCCGAGTTTTGTTTTTACCATGGCTTGCAGTTTTGGTACATGCGCCTCTTTTTCTTTTAGTGCATGTTGTTCAAAGTTTTGGTGAGGTATTGTTCATCTATAATTGTTTTAAAATGTCAGCGAGATAACATAATTAATTTAATATGTTTAATTGGTTTAATTGTTTTAATATGTTATAATTGTTTTAAAATGTCAGCGAGAGAACAATGAAGACTTAATCTCGAGATAGATTATTGTCAACCAAGTAGAGTGTAGTGTCTTTTATGTAAATAGCTGTAATTCTATGGGTTTACCTGTAGTTGTTGTAGAGTTTACCTGTCTCATGTACTTAAACGAATGTAAGAAATAAACGTATTAGAAGCAAAATGAGTTCAGCCTCAAACCCAACAGATTACGAGCCAAGGACTAAATGGCAATAATTTGTACTCTTTCATGCTTAAATTAAGTTCCACTATAAATTCTGAGTATTAATTAGGACATAATAACTGCCCATAACAATTACTGTTTTAATGCCAATACAACTCACTATACATATTACTGTCATTTAAAATAGACGACAAGTTTCTTTATAGCAAACATGTTTCGGCATACTTTATGCCATCTTCAGTGCGAAGTGAATCAATATAGGAAGTTTACCTGATAATATGTTATAGTGATAGAGCGGAAGTATCGAATAGTTATGATGAATTATTTACAGTTGAATAAAGTGTTATAAAATGTTTAAACTATAAGTCGAATGGGAGGGCATTATTGTTTTCTCTGTGCTTTTGAAGTTTGGGGAGACCATAAAAGCGAGCTGATTGTGAGCCTCCAAGTAAAACTGAAGAGTATATATGGTTGTCTATGGAGCCCTGTTTTTTGAGATTTCTGTGAAAGCGTTGTAGTCTGCCTTCTCTGAGTAGAGTGGGGTCATTATCTAATGGTTTAAATTTAGATTTGTTGTTAATTATATTTAAGCATGCATTATTATATACCTTTCTGTCCATAATAACTACTCATTTCCTTTGTCTGGTTTGAGAAGAACGACGTCCTTGTTGTTTTTAATGTTCTTCAAGATGCAGTGTTTTTTGAGATCAGATGGTGAAGGACGGTATGACGAGGTGTGACTTTGTGCGATGCGTATGAGTCGTTCTTGATATGATTATAATCGTCATTGTTTTTCAGTTTGTTAGTGATGGTCTAGTGGATTCGTTCGAATGTGGAGAGGATGTCGGCGTCGTTAAGTTTCGGAGGTTTAATAGACTAATAGAGTCCATTCTTTAGGAGATCAAGCTCTTCAGGTATAAATGTGTGCAGGATAAGTTAGTTACGGTTTCTTTATGTCAAAGGAGAAGTATTTTGTTTCTTGTAAGGTTTCTCAGTTTCTTGTGGTGGTTATGTAGAAGGTTGTTGATTTTAAAAATCAAGACCTAAAACAACTTTTTTTCATTGCCACCTCACAAACTCATTTCCTATTTAACGGACAATTTTTTAACCAAATCGATGGAGTCGCGATCGGCTCACCATTAGCACCACTTCTTGCCAATCTTTTGATGGAATATCACGAAAAGAATTGGATCAAAAACTATGACAGGCGTAAAGTATTGTTTTACAGACGCTACGTATATGACATATTTTGTATTTTTAACAGCGAGGATGACGCTCTCTCTTTTTTTAATTATTTAAATTTACAATACAAGAACATTGACTTTACCATAGAAAAAGAACACGACAACAAGTTACCATTTTTAGACATGCTCATTACTAAAAACACAGCCACAAACACATACACGACATCTACTTTTCATAAGAAAACCTATGCTGGCCTATTACTGAACTTCTTTAGCTTCACCTCACAAAAGTATAAGACAGGACTGATTAAAACTCTCATCGACCGCATACGGAAATTTAACAATACGTCAACTGGCTATTATCATGATTTAAACGCTCTCATTGACAGTCTCAAACGAAACTCCTATCCCTTGCCTTTCATAGAAAAAATCATTAAATCATATGACCATGACACAAACACAAACAAAATAAACACCAGAAACGAACCCACGCCTACCCAACTCGAGACTTATTTTATCAAACTACCCTACATTGGCTACATTTTCACAAATCACGGAA